ATTAGCTATATGTTTTCTATTAATATAGAGCAAACGATAAATTAATTCAAATATATATATGGAAATTATCGAGAAACAGCTTGATAATTTGTTACATCTTGTGTCGTCAAGATCGAACAATCATTGTTTATGCAAAATAAAAGAAGGAAAAAACACAATATTTATTCCTATTTTACACTGTTCATGCATTGATGATGGTATAGAATACATATTAAATAATAATTTTCAAGAAACAATTGAAATTGTTAATGCATGTTTGAAATTTGATGATCAACATTTTGCTATACTATTTATAGACATTAAACATCCGACAGTATTTCTGATAATTACAAAATTAGCATTACATTTATTATCAAATTTAAGTAATTTAAAATTTTTGGAATATGATCATTTATATAATATTGGATTATTAACTATCAAAATCATGCATAATAAATATATTTATTACGAGACAAAAAAGAAATTTTATGATGTATTTTTTAAATATACATTTCAATCAAATAATTTAACAGAATGTCTTTTACACCTTATTCAAAATATAACTGATTCATTATTAACTCCAATTATTTGTTTATGGTTAGATATCGTTGTTCATTATCAACATGTTGTCAGAAAACAACGCAACGACTTGGATTATACCTATTTTGAGCCAAGAAAAATCATATCAGAATGTATTATTAAACAAATATATAATCTACCAAATAATTTAGGATTGCGTGGATCATTTTTATTTTATTTAACATACATACCATATTATCATATAAATGAATATGAAAAACTTGCATTGATATGTCGTCAATATATTCTTTCACAAATGAAAGATTTAAATGAATGGACATCAGATACAATACATTGTGTTATGGGAAGTGTTTGTTTTATCACAAAGCATTTTTCTCAACACTTTAAATATGATAAAATATACTATCAATCGTTATTACTTATTATTTCTTGCGAAAAATTTCATAAAGCATTAGTATCAACATGGACAAATGATGAAACAATTTCAATTCATACAATTATAGAATATTTCTTTACAAATCTTGATCATGATGACGAGAAAATGATAATTACAGTTAGTACTGCTATTGATGAACTTCATAAACTATATGGAAATGTTGAGGACTATTTAATAAAAATGAATATATGTTATTTAATTATTGTATCAACACATGAGGGAAGTCATGTTTATGATGAAATTATATTGGAATGTTTTCAAAATATTAAAAGTCAACATCCAATAACATGGCCTGGATATATCAGACCGGGAGAAACGGATAAATTTTTACGAGCATTAAAGAAAGCATCTCATTGTGATTCAATTAAAGATGCAATCATTAGACTAGATAAAATTAATGAATTAGTTGATTTAATCGAATCTGACTCCGATATTATATGCGAAATTCTTGCGCTTCTATCGACAAAACCAGATGCTCAAAGAATATTACAAAAAAATCATAAGTATATGAACTATATTGAATACCAAGAGAATACGATAAAAGGTAGATATTCTTTACGAATTTTGGAAGAAAACATCAATGTTATAACTTCTTTAGATAATCAATGGCTGTACTATAATACAAACCAAGAACTCAGCTTATTTGAATGTATGTGTCTACCTGATAAGTGCCACTTGGCTGATTTCACAGAGATTATTAGACCACCGGGATTTTGTTCTTCCGTTAAGAATGAAGTCGTACTAAGCTGTAGCAATATCGAACTCGCCAGGCATATAATACGTCATTTAGAAAAAGTTCATTACAATATATTAATTTTAAGTGAATGCAATAATGATATGGAAAAAGAAAACCAAATCTTAACATGTAAATGTATGATTGTTTGTTTAACCGATGGTTACACTGAATATCAACCAGAATTAATTCTTGCTTATAAAAATCAAGTAAATATTGTACCAATTGTAATTGAAAATGAAAAACAATATTGTCCAAATGAACCTTTTTTGAAGTTTATTCTTGAAAAATATTCATCATCTGTAATTCGTAAAAATATTAATGAATTGAACGATTCATTAGCAAATGAAATTAGAGATATTCAATATACACAAACACGGACCTTATCCAGTTCTTTCAAGGCAAACAACAACTCGAATGATCAAATTCTACAACCAGTTGTAAGTGATATTTTACACAAAACAAAACATAGATACACTCTTCACTTTTGATTTTAGAAATATACTCATACTGCTGAGGATTTGTATAAATCATGCAAAGAAAATGACATTAATAAAGTGAAAGAATATCTTCGAAACATCAACTTTAAGATTTTAAATGGACGTGTGGTGAATGAAAGCACCGCGTTGCATATAGCATCTTACAATGGTCATAATGAAATTGTTCAATTACTTCTTAAAGCAGGTGCATCACGATCTATACGTAATTGGCCGTATGAGTTAACAGCTTATGAAGAAGCTCGAACACAAAGTACAAAGGATTTATTTCGAATCAATTTAGATGACGATCAACAGGATCATTTTTCCAGTAATGATATTTATATTGAATGGATGACTACTTCTCGAAGTCCTCATAAAAAACGAAATTATCTTAGAGAAAAGTTGAACCAGTTACAAGCATATAGAGATTGTGAGATTGACGAAGTTTATAAAGAACTGGTAGAGCATATGTATGCTTATATTAATACGTTAACTCTTTCAAATCATATAAAACAAATTTCAAAACAATATTTCACACAAATGAAAGAAACATGCGATCCAGTTTATATTATTAAAGTTTATACAAGTACAACTAGTTTTCATAAATATTATAATGAATATATCGCTCAACATGGTATTGATTTCTTTGATCCATTCAGTGTGGATATTCATGTGGATTATGCTATAATTAAATCTCTTGTGAAAACTATTGCTATAATTATGTATGATAAAAGTTTTACTAAATATCGATATTGTGGAAAAACATACCGTGGACTGGTAGTAACTGAAGAAAATTTAGAAAAATATATCGTGCATTCAAAAATAATGAATAAATCATTGTTATCAACATCAAAATCCAAAGAAATTGCTGAAGCATTTAGTGGTTGTAAAGAAGAAAATTGTCTAAGAAAAACACCTGATAAACAAGCAATTCATATTTCTGTACTTTGTACTTATATTATTAGAAATTGTGAAACGGCTTTAAATATTGAAACAATATCAGAACGAGTATTGAATGAGGAAGAAGTTTTAATATTACCATTTTCAATATTTCAAGTTAAAAGTGTTCAAAGATCATCAGCAAATATAGTGCAAATTGAATTAGAGGAAGCTTCTGACGAATTACTTGACAATTATAATTAAATAAACTTCAATAATGAAACTTTTAATAAAATAAATATTTCTTCGTTGTTTTTTTTCATAAAGAGAACTGCAATGATTGTCGATTAGAATAGAAGATTTAGATATTCTTCATAAACAAGCAGTAAGATAATATCCTGAAGGTGTGAGTGTATTATTTTGCAGATATCCCTACACCCACACACGCACCCTCTTTTTCATCTTGTTCTGATCATTTTCAATATGGCTTAACAAAACGAAATCTTAATGTCATCTTATTATTGTTACAAAGCTAAATGGAATAAAAAAGAAATCAAAATTTTGCTTTATGATGTGATAAAATGAATATTTGTTTTGTCACTAGAAAGAATTATAATTGTGTTTATTGTCAAGGAAAACTAAATCATTTTACAAGAATGTGAAATTCAAATGGTGAACATAATGAGATTATTTCTACATCTGTCTTTCGATTTGAATAAGAAGAAAATAATTATTTTTAATAACGTTTGAAAAAAAAATAGTGCAAATCATTACTACCAATCTACATTATAAAAAAACATCGTCACCTTTTCGTTTTTAGCATTGACAGTATGATCGGGCTCCATCTGCTATTAGCTCTCAGTATCGATTGAGATCGAATTACTTAAACGGTCCTTCAATGCTTCATATCACTTATTCGTAATACAAAAAATCACTCATGTTTGCTATCGTTATCATTGTTGTCCTATTCTTCTCGGCTTTTAGCGTCCAATTGCCTTGGAGTATAACATCAAGTAAGAATATTACAATATTATTTGTTTTATAGTGTGAGTGTGGGTATTCACTTGACCCACACCCACACCCTTTCGTCTTGTTGTTTTTTATAAATAAAATTTATAACAATAACAAAAAATCAGTTCATTTGATTTTCATTTGTAGCTTGTCGAGAACCATCATCATTAATAACTTTTGATGATATAAAAAATATAAATGCATCAGGAATTCCGATACCAAATGGTTACGGTGGTTTAAATTGGGGAAATGGTATGGCTTTGAATGGTTTAAACTCTAGTTCTGGTACTGGATATACAACGGGTGTTGTCAGTCCTCCAAATCTTGCCTATGATACATTTGGTAATGATATAGTTATTACAAATGCAACTACAAAGACATTTACAATAAACTCATTTTATTCATGTGCAGTCTGGTATGATAACATTACACTGGAAATGACCGGTACAAGAGAAGGTACTACTTTGTATACAAAATCAGTACAATTATTTATGCAAAACACAACCTTTATTGAACTGAATTGGTCTGACATCGATACTATAAATTTAAATTCAGTTTGTTTTTGGTGTTGTGGTGCGAAACATTTTACAATGGATAATTTATGTGTTACACTCTAAAATTAATGTTTACAGAAATAAAATTGTGGGCGTGGGTGTGGGTGTTTAGGTACAGGCAATATCGACCGTTTTCTTTGCCATTTAACAATTAGCTAAACCCTTTATTTAGAAATTTATATAAAAAATAAATAAATACTAGTTCTTTTTATTATAAGATAAATTGACTTCACTCGTCTTTAAGTACAATAACGTCAGGTATTTTCTTCTTCATCATTGTCATCCATTCCAGGTGGTACATATGTCTTTGCATCTACTTTTAATCCACGAAAATTCCATTCAAGTAAATTTTTTAATCGTGCTAATTCATCTTGATTATTTTTTGGTGTATATGTTCCTGAATCATTATCCATAACAAGAAAAATGACGTCTCCTCTTCTTTCGAATCGACATGTTCCTGCGTAGATGACTTCTGGTTCACATGATGCTTGTAAAACATGTTTCGATGCCATATTACGTAGTGCAGTATCTGCTCGTGAAATATGAAGAACTCCATCGGGCAATAAAGTATATGTAAATTCTGGACTAGAATGAAATGCCATTTCTTTTCGTTTTCTTATCTCTTTATCTTGTAATTCTTGATTTTTTTTACATTGTTCATCATCCGGTATCATACCTCCATCTTTTTCCATAACATTAATAAATTCTTGACCCGTAGTCATATAACATGCACGACGCTTTCGTCGAAATAATCCTGGACTGTATAATGACCGATGCATTGCACGTACTGATGTTCGTAATGCTTCACCTTCGATTGTTTTCGAAAATAATTTCTGAATGAATTCGGGTTTTTTATTGTATGTTTGAACGATTAGATTTTGAGCAAGTTCATGACGTATTTTAACTGCTACACGTTGTTCACGGTAACGTAAACAAAGTGTCATACAAATACTACGTAATATACTAATTTTGTCGAGTGATGAAGTTTCAGACTTGTCAAGTTCGACCGAATGGGAGAAAAAATGATTAACACCATCTAAGTGGAATGTGTGAACTTGATATGTTTCAAGATGATTGGCAATTGTGAAATTATCATTCCGGTAGGTTTTGTAACGAATACGTGGTGCATCTTCATTCGGCTTAGGAGGACATTTAGAATTAATCTTTAAAGGTTTAATAACTTTTGTATATTCAAACATTGGATTTTCCATGGAAATCTAAAGTGATGAATAAAATATCCTAATACTTCAAAAAAAGGCTTAAATGCAATATTCAACGACTGAAACATCGATATGGTATTATTTTAGAATGGTAAGAAAGGGAATCAAAAGTCGAAATTTACTATAGTATGATTGTGTTCAGCATAAGAAACTTATAATGAACCATCGCAATGATCAATATATGTGTGCTATGAATAAATGAAATCTATTTTATATATGAATTGTAGTTGAGGGACACTCTTTCGAAAAAGAAAAAAACGACTTCGTGTTTACCTATGTTTTGATCATCTGTTACACTAGGTTTTTTTTCTTCTTCAAACACTGTGTGTAACAAAGAGTAATATGTTGATGTTTGTTTCTTTCTTTCTTTCACCCGAGGTACAAAACTCAGTTGTACTGTTTGCATTTCTTTCTAAAGAACAGAATTGGAAACGTATTTTATAAAATAAAAAACATGTGGTAACATATAGAAACGCATAAACATAAGTCATGAGAAGTTCGTACGAATTTTATTATTTATTGTATGTGAATAATGAAATTAATTTTAAAAAAAAAGAAGGTAGAAGAACTATAACCATTGAGAGTATTACAGTTAGAATTTATTGAAATCAAATTCCATTTTGCTTAATTGATGAATCTTTTGTTCGACACACAAGTGTACTCTTGTCAACTAATCGTGTTCTATTTTCAAGAAAGAAAAATACTCGACGATTGAGAAAGTCAAGATCTAATGTTTGGTAATTCTTTTGGACATCGAGCACAAATTTCGCGTATTGATTCCATTTCTGATAGAAAACAACCTGATGTTGGACATTCGAAATGAGTAGAATTGGAAAAATTAGTACATGGATTTTGTTCAGTAAATGGTTTACTATTATTATTAAATAAAACATCGAATGGTTGAAAATTTTCTTCGAGAGTGAATGCATTTAAAATTCGTTGTAAACTTGTTTGATTATTATATTTATCTGTTGTGCAACTAAAGAAAGACAATCTAAATCAAAATCATCGAAATAATTTGCAAAACTTTCTTTTCCATTTTATAGTGTGAACCATCGAATTGTTTTTTAGCTTCAACTATTGAACAATCGATTGGAAATGATGGAAGAGTCTTATTATCAATCCAATGATTAACATGAGTTTCTGAACAATCGTAACAAGTTAACGATGAAACTTTGTGAAAAGTTAAGACGGAGAGAATGAAGATACTGAATAATATTTTTAATGTTTGTTATTTGTTGATATATTTTTATACTTTCATTGATAATAAATGACTCAGATGACGAATTATATCAACATCCCATCATGAATGACGTCAGAAATAATACGAAGTAGCACTTTTGTTGCAGAATTTGATAAGAGAACACATATATCGCATCATTCTTTTTTAGAACGTTATACCACGAAACTACGAATTGTATTGATGATTTACAAAGAAATTATAACTGAAATTCTCACTACAGTCGACATTTTTTTATTTGTTAAATTGAAGGTGTAGAGTCTGAATGTGGATTGATCTAATATTCGCACATACCGATATCCACCTTCACTTAAGCAGATTGTTTATATAACAAAAATTGTATCTCTTTTGAAAATGAACCGAATATTCTTTATACATACATTGCAACTGTCTAATCGATGAGCAGTATTACGGTTGTGTTCTTATGATGTTTTTTTAATACTTACATTGCGTAATGTACGTTGTTTCATGGAAGTCAAATAGCTTTTAGATTTTCTAATACCAAAATGATCAAATATTGAATGTCAGAATTATTTAATAAAACACTTTATACTAAAGTGACAGGGAAAATATATGTGTCAATCAGATCACTGATAAACAGAGATAACACTATTAATTTTTAACAAGAAAATCTTTTTAATAAATAGCGCTTCTCCTTAGATACCGATAGGACATAAATATCGATTGTTCTATTTATGTTATTGATGAATCCATGAAAGCTGCCCCCCCCCCCCCAAATATATTTACGGGTGTAGATGTGGGTGTCGATGCGGCTAAGGATGAGGAAAGAGAAAACATTCTCACCCACACCCTCAAGACGAAAGGAAATATGTCTAGTGGGAAGACTTGTGAAAAACCTTGAGTTTCGGTTTTCCTTCTCTGTATTCTAGTTTCTCGTCGCGGTATGCTGTAATCGGACATATGGCTTCGAGGAGTTCGATATTGCTATCGAGTCTGTTCCAGAAGCGCACTAAGCCTTGCAAGATGTCCACACGCGCGTTAGTCATGATGAAAAGATCATCGATGCACCTGAAGTAGAGCGATTCTGTTCGACGGGTCCATTTCGCGATCGTCCGTTCAAGAAAGTATATGTATGCATTTGTTATCTTAAAGGTGAGGATGTGGACGAGAGTGAAAGAGTAACAACCACTCACCCTATAGAAATTCGATAACTGTTAGTGTCCTTCTAAGATTTATTTCAGAATTAGTAGGTTACGAAGCAATTCAGAAAAATAAATATTGAAGCATATGTATGATTAAAATACTTGCACAGACAAATTTACTGACAACACTGAATAAGAAGCGATATTTAATGAAGTTTTTGTTTTGTTTAGAACAGAAAAACTAGACAATATATAAATTTGATCATAACAATGCATACCATTGTATTGACACATAAAACATTCGAACTATTGTTGTTTGATGGCGTTGTCTCAGTTGTTGCTGTTTTTTCACTTTCTTTTGATTCCGTTTCATTTCCAAGTATTTTATGCATCAATGCAAAACTGTATTTTGTATGAAATATTTGTTTAACTTTGACGAGATTATTCTCTCCATTACAGTTATCATAATGGCAATCAACATACAATTTATATTTTATATAATCAATGGATGGATTAAGAGTAACTACAATAGATACGCTTGAGAACGTGGTCTTGCCGTTATCATCAACACAATATTGATCCGATTCAGTTTCTTCTTTTTTTTCGTCTAAAAGCATATATGCTCCACAATAACCGCTGTCACAGTGTGTATCAATATCGTCTGAGTTGAAACATGTTCCTAAATATTCCCAGAAAAAATATTTTTGTTTGTTAATCAGATGGGCAGTCATTATCGAAGCGCATTTCCTTTCAAAACTAATTGCATATTCTGAAATATTGGGTATATGATAGAATGTTCTCGGCCACTGTCATGTCTTCGCCTTGAAATAATGATTACTATACTATTTGTCGAAGATCTAGTTATTTTTAGAGGATTGTCACAGAGGAAACGTGTTGATTTCCGAGGAAAGCGGACTAACTGAAGAAATTGTAGGTTTCTAGCGTTGGACACTAAAGGCACAATTTTAAGAAATAGATAACTCTATAATTGACTACATTAAAGCTATACAGATCTAGACAAAGGAAGATCTCCAGTATACATAGCTCATCTTAACAATACATACATATATATATGTATGTGTGTATAAAACGACAGAAAACTGTAGCATATCAGAATATTAGAGAAGTTTTGGGAAAAAATATTCTTATACAATGAATATCTATTCGATATACAGACTGCAAGTATTTGTTTTTGGAAAGATACATATTTAGCAAAAGAATTTATAGAACTTGGAACAGACAAATTTCCATTCATATTAACCAGTAACTTACCGCGATTCGTCCTATCATCCTCTAAAATAATTGGAGCGATTTCTGTGCCTAAACCAGTATAGTTCGCGTTGATTAGCCATTGAAGGCGAGTCTCCAAAAATTTGATCTCACATCCATCTACTGCACATGCATGTTCGAGGTATCCAACGATGCGAAAGTTCATGTCATTACCAGCATGAACCCGTACAATTGTATCAAGTCGGATTTTCTGATCTTCAAATCCATTGTCTTCGAGTTCTTCAATGAAATCAATGAACAAGTAGCGTCCCGTATAATTAATAAAAACGTCCAGGTGACATAGTTCGTCGTCTTCGTAGTTATCGGTGGGTAAAGTTTTGAGTTTCTTCATAAAATCTTCAAGATCAAAATCGTCGAACGTTGTTTTTGTTGATGCATTTTTATCGTTGCTGATACAAGAAAGACCAAGACTACTGGTGCAATGAATCAGTAGGATTAACAAAGTCAATGCTTTCATTGATCAAAGTAGATAAAAAAGAAATGAGTTGTAATAACTTCCTGCAAACCGTCACTTTACTAAATGAATTCTAGATCCATCTATGATATTTTTTTCATAAATATTGAAGAAAACCTATTCTGACACATCTGTCATATCCATCAAAATCAAAATAATAATTCTTATCTCTTCATCAGCTTCTCATAAAACTAGACAGTATAAAAGTTATATTACTGTATGACGCACATTCTAGAAAAGCTAGTAACTTAATCAAACATCTGATAACAGAAAATCCCTGGAGAGAAAAAATAAAACACAATCAATAGATCTTCTCAAATATTTCAGGTATGTCTGTTTGAAAAGGTACGATTAATTCAATCCATATTCTGTGATGAGAATGAACCATGATTAGCACCATCAACTCAGTTAAGGGTGTGGGGTGATTGTTCTTTTGCACTCATATCCTCATCCACCCATACTCACATCTACACCCACACCCTTGAATTGAAATGCGTCTTGATAACAATTCACATCCTGAACATGTATAACTTACTCCTACTATCCTATATATTTCAGCAAAAGCAATCAAAATCTATCATTTCATATGAAATACACCAACCTCTCATTTTCGTCAAGAGTTGGTCGAAAAAATTTCGATCGAAATTTAAGTCATCGGATTAGATCCTTAAGCAAGATCGAAACGAGTCATGGCAGCTTGTTATACCCACACTCAAAGGGAGAAAGTTTTTCGTCAAAAAGGAGAAAATTAAGGAAAAGAATGAGAACAAGAAGCGTTCGCATGCCACTTGTAATGTTATTCACAGCGGCACAAATCAAATCCATGATGTTCACCGTCACCACCGAAATGATAATAGAACCAGTAACTGCATCTCACACTAGGCCCATTAGGACGACGATGCCACTGATCATGAAAGTAGATTTTTTCGCTTACACCATAACTCCAAAGATCGTAATCTCGATCAAAATTGCCAGCATAACACCAATCGTAACATTTCCCACAGCGAGGACAAGGATTCCCATGACACAGCGGCTCCTTCACTTTCTCCGGTGCAACTGACAAGGTAGTAGTTACATTGGTCGAAGATACGATGTCTATAAAAGAATGTATAATATTTTGAATCATTCACTATGTCTTCATCTATTTTTTCATTCTGCAATGTTTATATTACTGATGGAAAATCTGTAGCAGTTTTAGGAGAAATTTATTAGTGATCTATGACAAAAACATATTCATACTCTGTAAAAAGGTTAGAACGATCAATCCCTTCTTCCACTGTAAGCTTTTCTATATCTTGAGGGTGAATGTGAGTGAGAATTTGAAGTATGAGTGCGACTGTTTTTCATCAACACGTACAACCACTCATACCGGCACCACACCCACACCCACACCCGTTGATAAGATTAGTTTGTAATACGAAGAAATTGAAAAAATACTTCGCTTAGACTTCGTTTTCTCAAAATGAAATAATTGAATAAACGTACCGAATGGTGAAACAACCGAAATTTTCTTGATAAATTCTTGTGAATCTTGTCGAATAGAAATATTTGATGATTGAAGAAATTCTTCTGTAATTTGTGTTAATTTTAATTGAAAATTATTTAAATCAATTTCATAAAATTCATTTTCTTCACGAATTTCTTTTAATTTCTGAGATAATTCAATAAACTTTTTTTCTGCATCATCGATCGACTTTTGTGTTAATTTCATCAATGTTTTCCGACATTCTTCTGCTGTTTGTTGAATTTGATGAATTGAATTTGTTTCCCATTGATTAATTTGTTGAATGAAAGAAGAATTGTGTGAATCCTCTTTTTGTTGAATTATTGTTTGTTGAAATTGATCGTGATCATTAATAATTGTCTCTAATTGTGTTTTGATTCTTTGTCGATGTTCCATTAAATGTGTGAAACAGAACTCATTTGAACATCTTGTACACCTGTATGTATTGTTTTCTTTATTGCACACAAAACATTGTATTTTGTTATTTGCTGTCGCCATTTGTTGAAGAATTTGAAGAAATGAATAATTGTTCTTATTCTGTCTGTGTTCGAAGCACATAAAAATGTGAAGAAAGAAAAAAGCACTCTCTAATGACAACGTGTTTAATATATCAGAAGCACATAAAAACAAACGATTACTTTCTCCTGCACACTACGAATCAAATCAACATGATGCACACAGTGGTTGATGAAAAATTCGATAAAATTTACACACCCAATAAAGATGCTATTCGACTGGTAGATGATGAACGGACATGCGAAACGGTAAAGAAGGGATTCTATCAATGCGTCCTTGGCAATCATTCTTATTCATCCGGAACTCATCGTATTCGGATAAAAATACATAATGAAAAGGTGTTTTTTGGAGTTCGTTCACGAAATATAATACCCGAACCAATGACGGACGCCAAGAATCGTTATGATGTGAGTCCTTCTACGTACGGCTGGTCAGAAAATGGTTATCGTCAGCTCAATGGAAGATTTGATCGAGAGCCGCTGAAGGATTTTCCACGAGAATACGCGATATTTATCTTGACATTGAAATGTGATGAACACTGCTTGAGTTTAGCAAACGAAAAAGATGAAGAACTAGACAAACTAAAACTAGACTCTTTGCATGCACCTTTTCCTTGGTGTCTTTTTGTTCAACTCTCTATGTACGGAGGCCGTGTATCACTTTTATAAATATTTATAAAAAGAGGGATAACTCGTGAATGTTGTCTTTGTATCTGTATTTGTTGAATTATTTACACATGGATGATTCCATGAGAAGTCAACCACAAAAATCTAAAGTCCTTAAATCTTTTTCTTTTGTATGTGAGTTTTGGTAGAAAAAAGGCGTCAGATTTACTTGAGAAATGGCTTAGTTATACTCAAAACCAGCAGGACCCGTACAAAATGCATAACTGGTTACATGAGTGAATATGTACTCATTTTCCTTTATAAAACACTAACAAACAACGCACAATGAGGGCGATTGGGAGAATTACCGAACCTCGAGTCACGTATCATCTAGATTATATCTTCCCGCCAACCACTATATCTACACATATTGATTCAGACTCGCATACAGCTACTATTCGTATGCGAAATACATTGATTTCATTGAATATTTCAGTATATTTTGATGATTTTGGAAATGGACAATCCGTTGGTCATGGTTGTACTGGAAAACATGACGGTACATGCATGGTTGGCTTACTTATAAACGTTTTACCTCATGTAATGGCTGTTTTAGAGCAATAACATTGAGAAAATATGCAAACGAATGTCAAGAATAAATAACAATTATTGTTTTTTAAACAATCAAAGCTAAAATAATTAATTTGACTGACTAATTCAGATCTTTAAAACTATCGAATTAAAATGTAAGCAGTTTAAAGAAACATCATGTCATATTAATTCAATTGATCATCTATTTATAAAGAAATACTTTTCAAAAGATAATAATCAAAATAATAAGGCGTTTATGTTAATTTCTATGTTTGCGTTTCAAGAAATGGTGCGGGTGCAGTTCGGTACGAACGTATTTTAGAAAATATAGATCTATTTCGATTCGTTGGGTTTCTAGGGTGATCTCTTGTCGAAGGATCAACTGACATTCTTTGTAAAACATTAATAGTATCTGGTCTATTCTTCCAACATCTCGAAATAAGTGGTACTTTGTCTCTTATATCTTTTGGTAATGTAACCATCGCAAAAAGAGGTGAAAAAAGACTTGGTATATAGAATGTATAAATCAATGCTTGTGTATAAATATCTAACGCAAATGTTGATGAACCATAAACTTCACCTAAAGTAACAATGGTATAAGGCACGCTACCAATAAGTTGTGAACAACAAATTCCCGTCAATTGAAGAATCATTCGACGATTTTTCTTCCATTTCGTTATTGTATTTGCTGGAAGTTTTTTAAAAAAGATAACTTTTATGATTATAATAAGATTGAAAAGTACTGTAATTGCAGCTGGTGTAAATGTATCAAAGAGAGTATCCCAAGCAACATAAAATCTAATAAGTAAAAACTGTGGTCCACCACACCATTCTTTCGAAAAATCAAATGTTGTATTACCATAAGGAAAAAAAACAATAAAATACAAATGAAGACAAGGTAAATATAACCAAATACAAACTATTGGTAAATAATGACAATACAGTTTATATTTTATTAAAAATATTTTATGAAATATAAGTAAATATCGATTAATAGCTGTTAACATTGAAAATTGAATTGACATTGTAGACCAAACATAATACCAATAATTCCAATAAACACAAAAATTTTTTGTTTCTATTATAGCTCGATTTCTTAGAAGAAATCCAACGGTCATTGGTAATTCAGTTTGAATCATTAGATAATCAGTTATTAAAAGACATAAAAGTGTATGATTATTTAGTTTTTGAAATAATAAAGTTTGATATTGTCGACAGATATGATAAAAATAAAAATAGAAGAAAAATAATGAAATGAGAGAAAATGGACAGAAGAAAATAAGCCAAGACAATCGACTGGTGAAACTTTGAAGAATTTCAATATCATCGTCATCCGTATTGTTCATTATAATGGTATTTTTAGTCAACAAAAAAATGTAAGCTATCTAGTTTTTTTTTATTCCTTATATATATAAAATATTTTCTGCCGAAAGGAATGTAATCATGAGATGAAAAAATAGTAAATTTAAGAAACTAACAGAAGGTCTATATATGAACATTAATATAAAGAATGTAGATGTGACAGGAAAAAGAATATTAAAAGTGACACCGCTGTGCATAGATGCCAGCAGCGATATTATTCTATTCTTATTAAATATATAAAGTAATATTTTTAGATACGTCATATTCTGCTTATTTATATTTTTCAGACAACATTTTTAGTAAAGTTAGATTTGATTTTTCATTCTCTACACAAACTAAATTGTATTATACTCACATTTTTTCATTATTGTTTTTTATATAAAAATAAAAATTATAATCGATTGACATGGATATATCAATTAAAGATATTTTAGTGTAAATTTCATATATTTTTGCATTATTCACTCTTAACATTGAGAAAAGTTTTTTGAATGTTCAGGTGATGATAAATGACATATGTTTTGTTGTATTACACAATAGACGAATGTGTGAATTTTCTCTCTAAAATAACCAAAAAAAAACATTGTTATTTATTCTATTTCTGATGTAAGTATATAGATTATGTTTGATATTTTAATCTCTTAAAAATTATGCTAAGAGCTTTTTTTCATTAATATGATTTATTTATGGTTCATTGAAATTTCTAAGTTGATCTTGATACAAAAGAAAATGATTTTTTTATCAACTCATCATTTCACAACGAGTTATATTTGTTTATGGAAAAAAAATAAATGCGAAAACTTCGGATTTTATCCGAGAGTTATGTGTACTGCAAAAAGTGCATATGGAAATCATGGGAAAACATCAGTATTTTTGCAATAACTCTTAGAACTCGACCGAGATCTTGATGAGACTGAATTGTGTAGAAAATTTCATCAAAATCTGACTCTCCTTTCAAAAGTTATCGTGTAGACGACCAGACGGACACACTAACCGATTCTATATGTGTACTCACTTTTTGAGTACACTAACAACATATATATTCGGATATTGTTGTATAGGGTGTACCTACTTATATTCTTGAACCTAACACTCTTACTCACATCCACACCCTCAAAAACAGTCAAGTTGATTTTATAAGTAAAACTAGGGATGTGCAGTTTCAATGCAAATACTGAAAAACTGTCACTGTCAGCACCGACAGTCACGCACCGTGACGCTGACAGTGTACGGTTGACTGAAACTGCGCATGCCTAAGTAAAATATGTTCTTATTAGCAACATAGACTGTAAGAAAGATATAACTGGGATCGGCACTCTATAGCTAATACATTCGAACATTCAGCACTACTGCTTTAGAAGAAGAATTGAGACTAGGGGTGTTACTTAATATTCTCAGATAAGTCACTAAAAACTATAAGATCACAGGCTAAAAAAAAATGTTTAACGGTAAGTTTCTTTTTATAAATCTTTTATGCCTTTGATTTATTTGAGATGTCTTTTCTTCTTAAGATGATACATTTGATTTTGTACTTTGTTGATTTTAGTTGCAGTTAACAGGTTGTTTCCACTAGTTATAAAAAGTTGAAGTATCTAATTAGATTTAATTCTATTTCATTTCTTTGATTATGTTTATTTTTTTCTTTTCACATTTTATAATGTACTTTTTTCTGATTACTTAACATTATTACTGTTTCTATAACACATCATAAAATGACTTTTATAAATCTTGTGAATATATAGAATATTCTATGCAAAGAGATACAACCGTCTTTTTTGTCGTTATTGCCAAGTTGAACTGATCTTAGAGTACTTTCAGATTAACCGCTTTAATCTATCATGATTTTTTTGACGATGAGATGTGCGTATGTCATAAAACGGAAAAAATGAAAGATAATTCTCTTTTCAACGTCAAGACTGTCTACAGAAAAACATTTTAAATATATCAAATTATGCTTATTACTAGTTTATCGACGTCTAACTTTTTTTTTCTCAAATAATGTTTGTATAGTTCTGCTGAATCGAAATGAGTTTGAAATGGTTGAAAAATATATATAAATTTCGTCTCGACAAGCCTCCTGTTGTTTCAATAAAATAAATTCAGTAAGGATACTGTTTAACGAGTATTTGATTAAAGAAAAAATAGAGATTAAAATTCTCTCTTTTTAATGTTTATCAGTTGGAAAAATCTCATTAATCTAAGTGCATCGTTGTATGAAAGTATATATTTTTTTATATTCTAGATTTTTAATGTAAATCGAGAAATTATTTATCATTTTCTATTTTAACTTATTACTCGTTCTCCGATCCAAATATGTCTTCATTGATTGACACTTTAAACTTTGTTCAACTACAAATTAATATCAGTTTTGCTTTGATCACTCTTATTTTGGGAGTTACTGGTTGCTTTCTCAATATCCTGCTTTTTTCTCGACGGCAGTTTCGAACAATTTCTTGTTGTATTTGTAAGTTATTTTATAGTGGAAAAATTACTGAGAATCATGTTTCTCTTAGATTTTCTTGGAGTATCTGTAACAATGCTGATTCAAGCGGGCTTTGCTGGCGCAACTTATATGTATTCAGTTTACTATCCCAATCCGATAGTTACCATAGGAGTTTATTGTAAAATATGGTTTTATACAAATCAATCCGTCTCGATGATGTTTCGATGGATGCTGACTGCAGCTTGTCTGGATCGATATGCTCTCTCATCAACAAATGCACGTTTACGACATTATGCAAATATAAAAAATACACGTTTAACAGTGATTATCATTGTGATCGTGTGGATAATATTGCCTATTCCTCTTCTTATTCTTAATGGTGTAAGAGCTGGAACTTGCAACGTTATCTATGGATATGCTGCATCACTTTATAATAATATTTTTACAATGATCAACGGTTACGCTATTCCAATAATAACTATGACTATTTGTAGTATACTTATTCAAAAGAATCTTGTTAACAAACGAGAACGCCGTCATATAAATATTCATCAACCAAAGGGAGAAAATAACAAGCAACATCTCGAACGAAGACGTGATCAACAAGCTTTAGTTATGCTTTTTGCACAAATATTTGTTTACTTTATTTTAACAACACCTTGGATGATTTATAATATCTATAGTACTCTTACACTCGATATAATAAATAAATCAGCTAATCGAATGGCCATCGAACGATTTGTATATACTTTGAGTTCATTAACAGTTCTTTTATTTCCAACTTCATCATTTTATTTGTACACATTAACATCAAGCATGTATCGTAAGGAGCTACTCATCATGTTGCGTTCAGCTCTTCCTTGCAGATATTTCAACAATAACCGTCGAATTGAGCCAATAAGACACACTCTTACACAGAGAGCGGTTACTTTACAATAATCCAAATTTTTAGCAATATCAATGTCTATTCAATTATCATAAAACGAACTATTTCTATATTTTTTCTTCATGCATATTGTTCGTAAGATGTTTCCTTCTAGTTGTTGTATTGTCATTTCAACAGTTGTTACAAAATTCAAGAGAAAAATCAGTTAGTATAAAAGAAATTACTCACGTAAAGATGTATTCTGCTATGAAAAGCAAAAACAACATGGAAGAATCTAGAAAATATTAACGTTAATAAGAGAAGACAGAAAATAAAGGTAATGTCAATGAGTTATTTGAGATAGTCTTTTCATCATCTTGTTTGCTATTTTATCCCAAGTATAATATTCTGCATGTTTTCGGCATATTTGAGATTTGTTTCTAAGTTCTATTCGATCAGTATATGCTCGATACATATTTTGTGACAATGATTGAATGTTTGGTTCTGCCCACATTGCTTGCATTTTAGTTTTAAATCCAAATACTTTCATCTTTCCGCAAGGATCTGTAAAACATTCAGTGACTTTTGCATCAATATAATAAGCACATTCTTCTGGACAAAAATCTAACGAAGGACCATATTTTGTAACAATTGGCGGTACTCCTGCAGCCATAGCTTCAAGTGTTGATAATCCAAAACCTTCACTCCTATATGGAGCAACATACACATCAACACTTTTGAATAATCGAATCATATCTATATCATTTATAGGATAACCTAAAGTAATTATTTCTGGAGATAAGCGAGTCTTTTTAATTTTCTTCATGAGATCTTTTATAGTAGAATGAATTATTAATGTAACATCATCTTTACTTGAAAATCGAGCATTATATGCCTGAAGTAATACATTAAATCCTTTTCGAGGTAATGTTGTTCCAATACTTAAAAATTTGAAAGTTTTTTTCGTATTTAATGGAAATGGTGATAATGTCAAATTGAACTTTTCCATAAATACACCATGAGGAAATACATGAATTTTATTTTTATCTATGCCATTTGCTATATACGAACTTTTTCCATATTCACTTGGTACCCATAATTCATCAATTTTGTCCTGAAAATATTGTAGCCAATGAACGGGAATCGCATGAAATTCCCATGGTTGTTGGTGCACTAGTATTTCATTTCTCGATACACCCTCTAAATTCGGCAGCCAATTATTTCTGAATATTATTGTCTTGTTCTTAGGAAATAATATTGATTTTCGGAGGAAGAATGAATAGACTAATAAAGTTTCTAAAGCTGTTTCATTTGGATGTACTGTTCTATCAATCGGTCTTATCGTAACAAGTAAATCTTTGTGTGTAATTAATGATAAGAACATTTTACGATTAACAGAAGCAAATGAACTTCTATCGAAAAAACGACCATCCATTATTAATTGAATTTTTCCAGATTTTTCTTCTGAACATTGTAAAATTTTTTCAGGTAAAATGAAAGCATTATGTTCCATTCCGGATATAGATAATCTTTGTCCTTCGCAAGCATGTGAAAAAATATCAAATCCAGGAATAAACCATTTTAAAGTGTTATTATCTTCTTCAATCGTTGAACTGATCAATCCAAAAGCATTTGTAAATTTATTTATTTTTAAAAAAGATATTTTTATTTCATTGTTCGAACGTAAAATTTCCAAATTGATATTCTCTGATGTAAAAAAAATTCTTTGTTTTATATAATCAATCCGAACTAGACACGTGAAATTGTTCTTATTAAAATTAAATTCATCGATTCCTTGATTTCTATCCACGAGTATATATTGATTCAGCGTTTTTAATCCTACAAGTTCGATTTCATATTTATCGTTAAGTTTTCCATTTAATTGAAGAAACGAATCCGAATATATTGTATAAATACCGGGTTGAGCTTTATCTTTGGCTAGAGATAAGAACACATTCTGACCATCGAAACTCATTGTGCTAGTATTATTCCAATACATTTCCGTTTTGTATGGATCATCGATTAATGTATGTTTCAAAGAGTTGTTAAAAAGAAGTGTATATTGTTTAGCGATATTATTCCAAGTCCATTTTTTCACCAATGCACGACCGTTCTTACTAAACATTTTCATTCGTGTTTTATTTGTTAGAAATGTGATAATTGATTCTGTTATAATTTTATCATCGTCAAATGAAACTATAAGACCTTTATCATCGTTTAAAAGTTCATGAGAAAATATATTCGGTGTTGAGATAATAGGTAAACCATATGACATAGCATTTAATAATGTGACAAAAGTCAATATAGTTTTATCGAGAAGCGAAATATAGGCGTTTGCTCGTTTATATAGGGCATCTAATTCATTTGTTGACATAGATTTATTTGTCCACGTTAATTTATCTTCAAGTTGAACACTTTTTACTGCTTCAGAAAGATTTGAATTTATTGTAAGAGACTCTTGAACAATAATTAATAAATACAAATTAGGCATTTTTGAAATTATCGATTTAAGATTGAGAATTAATCGTTTGTAATCTTCATTTGGATGATTTGAAATAATTGAAAGTAATACAAAATCTGTATCTTTATATTTTGATAATATTTCAATTGATTTGAAATCTTTCGAAGACTTTGGTATGGATATTCCATATGGAATATGTAAAATTTTCTTTTCTTCAACTCCACATGTATGAATTAAACTATGATAATCGAACCAAGTTAAAACAATCAAATGTGCACCATGATTTGACATGTATCTGACAAGACCTATCACTTCTAAACTTGGATTGGCTAAGGAGGAATGCAAAATGTAATATACTTTGACATTCAAAGAGAGTTTACATCCTAAATGAGCTAACTGCCACATATTTGAAGGAACTTCAAAGTCTTGAATCATAACAATAGAAGTAAAATTATTTTCATTAATATACTTTGCAAAAGTCTCATTAATTGTTGTTGAGGATTGATTATATATTCGAAGTGGAAAGGTGTGTAAATTGCATGAAGAATGAAAGTCTTTTAATGTTTGTAGCGAAGAAACAAGGTTTTTTGTAAAGTCCATCTTCAAATAATCGAATGAATCTCTTGTTAATATCACGGCTACTTGACATTTTTGTATCTTATTCATTTCTTTTGTGATATTATTGTATATAATCTTAATGGTTGCTGAATAAATATTGTCTGATAGCATATAAAATAATGCAAAGATAATAAAAACTAATAACACACGTAAAGTCATGAATTTCTTCGAGGATACTATTGTAGTTAAATACGTTATGAAATCATACGGATCTAATTGATCAATTTAAAAAAATAGTCGTCAGGATGTAGGTGCAGAGGTTGTTTCATAACATCCTTGATACTGTTGCATAGCGATATCGGTATTTTTTTGAATATATCAAAAAAAAATTCTATTAAATATGATCTAAAACGAGAATAACACATAAACAAAAATGAATAAATGGTAGTTGAATACTAATTGAAAACAAAAATATTGCTTTTCTCTCCATTTATAAACGAAAAAGAATAATTGAAGAAACATACAGAAAAACAGCGAGTTTTATAGTATACTGCTTGCAACGTGGCAGTCTTTGAAGCATAACAAAGGAGAAAAAAAACAATTGTGCAACAACTATTTCTACCCATGTAGTCGATTTTTGAAATCTCATACATCTATTAACAAGAATAACCTACCGTCCTGATCGGTGCTTCCTATACCCCTGACTTGGACCGTGGTACATTTGTTCCGTTATAAGAAACGAAATTCTATCACATTCCTCTATAAATGAAAGGACAGAAACAAATTGAAAACAACATTATACTCAATATATTACTTTCCAAATGAAAGGACAGAAACAAGTTGAAAACAACTATGCTCATTATATTCCCTTACAAATGAAAGAAAAAAGACAAACTGATAACAAAACTATACTCCATATATTATTTTACATATGAAAGGAAAGAAATAAATCTTCGAATATGACTGGAGTCTTGAAATTTGAATAATTAAAAAAATATCTGTCATTCTCATCTACAGAAACGAAGGTGGGTGTGTGATAGAAATAATACTCACATCCACCACACCCACATCCCCCATCTTGAGAGTTTGGGTGCCAGTGATGGATATAATACTCATACTCACACTCACAGCCACACCCACACACACACCCACACACCTATATTTCGAAAAAAATCTTTAACTGAGTGCAAAATTGGAAAGAATTTGGAATTACTGGATTCATATATATCTATTTAGGTGCGATTGGAAGAGAACTTAAATCGAAAGCACTGTTATGTTTGGAAATTTAGGAAAGGAAGTATTTAAAATTTTTAAAGTTGTTTTCATGGAGACAATAATTTGTTTAATAAACCATTCATCAATTGATCGTCTACTTCTGAAGATGCGAGTACAATATTTAAACCATTATTCCATTCTTCCCTAGCTTTAACTTCATTCCCTTGACAACTATGAAGATTACCGATATTCCAATATGTTCTTGCAAGATCTAAATGATTTTCAGGCAAGAACGTTAATTGAATTGTAAGAGTTTTTGTATAATAATCTATTGCTTTAGAATAATTGCCCTGTCGTTTGTAAATGACTCCAAACATATTAAAAGTATTGGCGACATCCAGCATATTTTCAGGTGCATTTGATAATTGAATAACACGCAGCTCATTACAATATTTCAAAGCTTCAGCAAATTTATCTTGATTTGAATCAATTACTTCGTTGTTATTATGTATTTTTGTAATGTCTGGAAGATTTTTAAGTAAAATTCTTATTTTACCTTTGAGTTCTTCCTGTAAATGTTTCACATCATCAATATAGTTATTTCGATCTGGATTGTTTCCTGTCATGTTGATAAATTTTGCAACAAAAGAAGACTGATTATCAGCCAACGATTCTAGTTCGATGTTAATAACTTTTTTATTATACTCCTTAAGTTTGGTAGAATTGCCTTGTTTTATACAAATTTCTAAAATCCTATTATATGTACTTGCAATATCTGGATGATTTTTAGGTAATGATCTTAGTTGAATTTCCAACGATTGTTCGAAATATTGTAAAGCTTTGTCATAGTTACCTTGCATTTTATGAATTGTTCCCATATTTTGATATCCATCAATAATCTTTGGATGATGTTCCGGTAAACATTTTAGTAGAATTTGAAGACCTTTTTCTTGATATTTTAAGGCTTCAGTATAGTCACTATGGCCGAAAAAATAGATAACGCTAATATTACTATAGGAATCCCCAATATCTGGATGATTTTCAGATAAAGATTCCAGTCGAATAGCAAGTGCTTTCTCGAAATATTTCAAAGCCTCTGAATAATTGCCTTGCGCTTGGTGAACACTTCCAATATTGCTGTAAAATGATGCGACATCTGGATGATTTCGCGGCAAAAACTTGGCTTGAATTTCAATAGCTTTCTTGAAATAATTTAAGGCTTCGCTATAATCTTGTTGATCTTTATACTCTATTGCCATGTTATTGTATAAATTTGCGAAGCCTATATGATTTTCAGAGAAGGACATAAGTGTAATGCTATGCGTTTTTTTGTAATAATTCATGGCCTCAGTATGATTACCTAAATACGCGTGGACTTGCGCAATCTCATTATATGTCATTGCAATTGCATTATAGTCTTCCGATGAAGATTTGAATCGAATTTCGATTGATTTATTCATAGATTTCAGTGCTTCAGTATAGTTGCCGAGACTGCGATGAATGGATCCCATACGGTGGTATGTCCTTGCAAGATTTGGATGATTATCAGGCAAACATTTCGATTCAATTCTAAGTGCGTTTTCAAGATGCTCTAAAGCGTTTTTAAAATCTCCTTGCTTTTGATAAACTAAACCAATATCAGCATATATTTTTGCAATATCAGGATGATTCTCGGGTAAAGATGCTAAACGAATTCCAAGTGTTCTCTTCATATATTGTAAAGCTTCATTATAATTACCCAAACTACAATATATATCCCCAATGCTATTACATACGGCTGCAATGTCTAAATGATTTTCAGGTAAACATTTTAATTGAGTATCAAGTGCTTGTCTGTAATAATCTAAAGCATTAGCATAGTTAGCTTCATCATGATGTACTACTGCAATATGATGATATGTTGCGGCAGTATCTGGATGATTCTTGGGCAAAATTTTTAATGCAATTCTAAGTGCTTCCTCATAATAGTGAAGAGCTTCTGTACGTTTGCCTTGCCATATATAAAGTGTTCCAATATTATTGTATAAAGTAGGAATAAGTGGACTATTTGGCGATAGATTTCTCAATAGCAGTTCATAATAATGTTTAGCTTTATCATAATGACCCATTGATGACATTAGAAATCCTAATGCTCCCAAATCGTTCACATTATTATACATTTGTTTTTTCATATAATCTGTTAAAGCTTTGAGTACATTTTCTCCTTCATGCTGATTAGTTAATATTAATTTTATGGAATATGGCCCATCATTAATTGCCGATTGTTGCACTGCATCAATTCGAAAGATACAATCCATTGAAAATAAAATCTCTCGTTCTTCTTCCATGAAACTATATTTTTCAATGCAAGCATATGGTGTTGATTCAAAACTACTATTCGGAATACTTATTTCAAATAAAACAGGAACTATATCTCCTGCACATCCACCTGGAATAAAACCCGATGCCACGTCTTTATCTAATGTAGTTGATAAAAATGTATTGAATGACACCAATTTGTTTTGATTGGCTTCGAAAACTTTTAGTTCATTTTTATGCATAAATTGACCACGATAAACAATATTGAACCTTTCTGGTTCCAATGCTTGTTTATTATATAATTGTTTTAATTGTTCATGTAAATCTTTGATAATATATCGAAATTTGTAGATTACATCAAAATCTTGATTTCTTAATGCTTGATTTAATAAACGATATAAGAAACAATCACGTGTATACCATCGAATAGCTTGATTTGGATTATAATCTTGTTTAAATTGATCAATGGTTTTCAATTGTTTTTGATTACCGTCATAACATCGACGAACTTCATCTAAGAACTCTTGTTCTGCTTCGTTTCGCTGTAAATGATGTAATAAAATTTCGATAAATAAATGCATATACATAAAATATTGACTTTCTTTTGATAAATCTTTAACAGATTTTTCTTTAACATTATCATCGATATTGTTAAAGAATGTCATAGGTAGTGAAAGTTGATTCGAAAATAATTTAACGTCATTATTTAATTTATTCAAAAGTAGTTGTTTATCGGAAAAAGCATTTTGAACTTTTTCGTATTCGATAGAATTTGTAAGTATATAAACAGATCGAATTTTTGGTAATTGATCAATATATGAATAAATAAATTGATGGGAAAATAAAATGAGCAATACATGTTTTGTTAGAGAAATTGATATTATATAATCGATACATTCATCAGCATTAGTGAATAACTGGAAACTATAAACGATATCGATTAACTCATTAAAGATTTCCGTTTGATGATTTGCATTTTCATCAAGACATATAATCACAATATCTTCAATGTTAGAATCTTTTCTGTTTTCCACTGATTCAATTAATAAGCATTGATTTTGTGTTGATATCGATTGGGATATTGAATTATTTTCCATCATATATATTAAATGAGAAACTAGAATTAAAAAGATATTTGTCTTATAAAGATAAAATGAAAAATAATTATAAAATATAAGATCTTTTGATCTTCTGCAGAGATATATTCACGTTTTGAAATAAAACAGATTTTAATCTTTTCAATTCTATTCTAGATGATAAAAATATACTGACTTGTTTTTCTTTTACAAATTCAAATAACATAAGACAATAAATATTATCTATTGTGGTTAGAGAGGTATGTATCAAGCCTCATTCGAACGACGAAATAATACGAGGGGAAAGCAAAGTATTTTGAAATATATCTACTTCACATCGTAATATATAAGTATCACGAGCAATTGTCTAAATAGACAGGAGAATGATAAGAATAGTAAAACATTTTTATTCAGGTGTGGGTGTGAATGTGATATAACAATTACACCCACCCACACCCACACCCTCAAGATGGTCTATCAGGGTTTATGACAGATCACAGGATCTATCAGGGTTTACTAGGGCCGTCAGGGCTTATCAGAATGTATGAGAGACTACAAGGTTTATCAGGAACTCAAAAGACTATCAGGATTTACGAGGAACATAAGAGACTAACTTGCTTTATGAGGATCCTCAGGGTTTACCAGGTTTCTCAGGGCCTATCAGGATTTACGAGGGACCCCAGAATCTATTGAGGTTTATAGAAATCTCAGGGTCTATCAGGAAGCGGGTGTGAATACAATATCAATATATAATACTCACACCCACACCATCAAGATGGGTTATATTTTTATTGATAAAGTATGTCTTCTGGTATCAGAAGAAGCTCTTTTCAAATAAGATACTTTGGAAAGAGTGAAATAACTACACTCAAACTCATGATATCCAATCTCATTTCTATAGAATCCTATGGGGAATTTGTTACGAATTCTATGACGCAACAACTATTGATTAGTGAAAGATATATCCGCTCACATTAATCAAAATTTTGATACGATACGTTTTGATGAAAAAAAGAAGTTAGAGCACACGAATCTCACTAAAAAATGTAACTTACTGTATAGGATTATTTTGAATAGAAATGAAAAAACGACAACGACTGTTTATTTGAATTGAAAAATACGCTTATCTTACTTTGAAATAATATAACGAAGAAGAATTGTTAATATTTTGTATCAAAAATCTTATCTTTACATAGGTAGTCACGAAGGCTTGTTTAATAGCTGCAATACATAAGGAGAAGAATAGCATGTTTGAGTAAGATTGATAATTAATGAAGAAAAGCATAGAATTAATGATATAGTATTATTTTCATGTATTATTGTCCTTTTTATATTTTTTCTATATGTATATACACAAGTCTCTTCTCACTTTAAGAGCTGCAGACGTTTGATTATTCTTTTATTTTCTTCACAATGGCCAAAATAAATCTTCAAAGTATCACAGGATTGGAAGTTAAGAGCAGACAGTCAAATGTACGCTATTCAATTATATGATGTTGAGAGCAAATATATACAAAGAAATCTCTGCAATAGATAGGAATAAGAAAAGAAAAAGAAGCCCAAAATATTATGCTTGATAAGAATACTAAGTGCAGTTTCGAAAAAAAAAGATTTCGTACGACACTAAAACAGAGTTATTGGGCAATTGAGGGTGGATGTGGGTATGCCCCAGTGAAAAATTGTCAAATTATATCTGATTATGTATAATTATAATCGAATTTTTGTGCAACAAAATCAGGATTATAATCGATTGAAATCTTTCAAATCAACAATAATTCGATTTTTAATCAAAAACTAATCTTCTAAATCAAATATAATTTTGATTAAAATCATACAAATTTGATTTACTTTATTTTTAATCGGAACTACATGATTTTAGTCAAAATTATATTTGATTTAGAAGATTAGTTTTTGATTAAAAATCGAATTATTGTTGATTTGAAAGATTTCAATCGACTATAATCCTGATTTTGTTGCACAAAAATTCGATTATAATTATACATAATCAGGTATAATTTGACAATTTTTCACTGGGTGGGTGTGGATGTTTCTTTATTTTCTTACATGCATACCTACACTCACACCCTATGTGCATAAGGTTTTAGTTCAGATACAGACATTAGATTTATCGGTATAATACTGTATCTTAAACTAAAACACCCATAATTATAAACAAAAAACTTATCGTTGTAGGGTTTTTCATAATTTACTAAGAGCTATCGTATACATAAAGTGAAACTTCGAGAGCAATTTATTATTTGCATTGAATTCTTCATTAGTAACATATAATATGCTATAAGAGTATACTTATGTATGTTCATAGTCAACAGATAAATATTGAATAATATTCAATTAGAAATATTTCCATTATAGAATAGAAGAATGCGAAAATAAAAACATGTCACTTTTTTTGTGCTCAAGTAAGCGTGCTTCTATTTGAGATGATCTCTTTTCTATTTTTTCTATTTCTTAAGAATGTCAACTAAAATTACATATGCTATATGATGCGATAATTAAATATTGGAGAGAGAGAAAAATTTATGTTTTCACTTTAAGTATTGAGTGAATGTTTGATAATGAGATTGAATCGTATTTCTAATATGGATTTAAAGTGTTGTATACAAAGTTGAAAGATTCTTTTTTTTCATAAAAGGCGGATAACTCATTTAAAAAAGTAATGATCGATTTGTAACTCAATTTCAGTTTGAGATATCATATAATGTTAACATAAATAGAAAATATCTTTATTCTTCAGCTTAGAATTAATATGATATGTCAGAAGATTATATCTATTCATATTCAATGAATTACATCAAGCATTTACTAAAAAACATAATCTCCAGGTTATATCAGTCTTGATTCAGTTTAAAATAGATTATATTTCATAATCAAGTGCAATATTTGAAACATAAACACTAAAAAAAGAATAAACATGATACTGCCTTGATTCTTTACCAATATAAAAAATTCTGATCTTGTGCTAATCTGGTTTTGTTCTTTTTTGAATCTTGTCTGACGATCATGACAAAAGCATTTGACAGGAATGATAAACCATAATTATTTTCTGTTCAGAATTTGTCGGAGTCACTAAATATGATAATTTAACGTTTGTGATATTTTTGAAAACTTTTTATCTTATAGAGTCGATCTTTGTTAAAAATTAATATTCTCTTTTATTTATTTTTATATATCAACAAAATCCTGTTATTATTAATAACTCATACTAATTATAGTATAAAAATTGTAGTCAATGATAGTTCGAAATTGTGACAGTATTCACAGACAGAGAGAGAGAGAGAGACAGAATAGAAGTTTTCATTAGGGCGTATATCACATTTTTTTAGTGCAGAAAACTATGCAAAAAAGAAACTACTTAAGAGATACTTACTTTAATGAAGTACTTATCTTTTTTCTTTACATTAACTTCTATTTCGAACTGTTTCGGATGAGATAGAAAATTTTGATAGACTCTGATTTTATTACGTTGCAAGCCCATTCATGCTTCACTCTTTTGTGTTTCATTTTCTATTTAAAAACTCATTTTACCAGACGATCCATGAAAATATTCATAATTCGAGCATGAAAAGAAATGAATATTTCTTTATTGCATTTGTCATTTGTTTTTCTCTTATCTCTTCTCTATATTTTTTTATAAAATAAGAAAAAAATAAATCATAGGTATTGTATACGCCACTTTCAAATAAGTCTTCGAATTGATGGCAACATTTGGCTATAATAATACTTCAAATATAACAGATCTTGAACCATGGCATATTCCAATGAATATTCTAAGAATGACATGTACCATCATAACAATAATTATTTCTTTGATTATTTTGGGTCTTATTGCTTCTAAACGAACACCTCGAACAGTACCAATGATGTTAGTTGCTAATACATGTTTAAGTGAATTTATTTGTGTATGTACTGCATTAAGTTTAGTTGCATTTACACTCAATAATGATCTAAAACAAATTCAATATCAAGATTCACTTTGTATTTTTCGAGCTTATATTAATTATAGTATGACTGTTATACAAAATCATTCTTATAATCTTCAAGCAATGTATCGATATATTACTGTTGTATATCCAAGTCGTATTTCTTGGCAATCACGTCGATTAAATTTTTGTTTAATTATTATAACATGGATATTTGGATTAGTATCATTTTTACCATTTTTATTTACTAATTTTATAACATATAATATTGAAAATCAAATATGTCAATCACCTATTCAATTATCATTTCCTATTATTTATATAGCATTGATTATTTATATAATTCCAAATATGATTTTAAATATAATTTATATGAAATTAGTTCGATATGTTCATGCAATGAATAAACGTGTTACACCTGCAAATATTAAATCTCGTGCTGAACGAGAATTAAAAATGGTTCGAAATATTGTTATTATTTCAACGATTCTTGTTATTCTTGGTTTACCATATGCAATATTTATTTTAATGTCATTTTTTACAGTTATACCAAAACATCATTTTCGTCTTGCTTATATTTCTATTGATGTATCAACAACAGCGGTGATCATTGCTCTTTTTAAAACTACAGATCCAATTAAAGCGACTGCAAAACAGATTATAAACGAATTAGGAACTATAATTACACGAGCAAGGCCTTAAATGATTAAACTATATATATAATCAAGGTTCCGAATAGAATTCAAAAGCAAAACGTTTTTGGACACTACATTTTTGAAAGTAGAGTGTATAAACTGAATTTAATTCTTAGTATCAATATCCATTTAAATTTAAATAGAAAAGAAATCAATTTATGGCTTAAAAACAAAGTGTTAATTTTGTTTTCGCCAGCAACGTGTAAACCAGCGTGTATTTCAAATGTTTTGCACATTTTGCTTCTGCTTGGTACATTTGTCATTCAGGACCTTGTTTGAGACAACCCTATAGTACTTCCTCTATATCGTGTTTTTCGAACTATATTTGAAGTATCACAGAAATCCGGTTACTTCCCCCATACAAAACAGAGAGAGAAACATGAATAAGAAAAAAAAGTTCATTTTTAACATCTTAAAATAATATAATAGAGCAACAATTATACATTAATTATTTCTAACATGTTGATGTTATTCTTGTATAGTTATATTGAAAGATCAATTATTCATCGGTATTATTTTATTGATTAATTCAATTTGACATTTATTTCAGTAATATACTAAAAAAAAGTTCTGAGGAGAATCTTTTTCTTTCTCATTGAGAAAACAATGTAAAATTAATCAGCATGAAAATAAATATTAATTTCTCTCATATAAATTCGATATGAAATAAGTATGAGAAACTACTTTATCCGAATAGAATTTTTTTTTCTCTCATAATACTTTGCATTTCCTTGTAAAAATATTAAAGATGAAAACTCACATATGGCATCATTTTGTTCAGGACAAATTTTTTTTATTAATATATGCATTGAATATTATACTGGTGGTGAATTTTTCGATACTATTTTATCTGGACATACCCAATGATATGTGTAAATGAAATTGATATTTTAAAGATAATTTTCTTTTCAAAAGCATATAAGAAATATTTCTATTAATTTAAATGACAAACAAAACTTTATTATTGTTTTCTTATACCTTCTTTATCTTCAATAACAATTAATATGAACAACGCGATATTCTTATTCATATTGTCAAGATGAGTTACCTATGGAAATGAATAATTATACACAAACGGATGATTGAGTACTATCATAAATAGAGAATAGTTCATACAAAATCGATACAAATTTCTTTTATTACTATCCATGAAAGAGAAATAATATACTTTGATAGAATGAATGACTATGAGTATGAGATAAAGAGTATGTCATTTATCTCTTATGTGTGTCTATATTGAAATTCAACAACTAATGCTGTAGACCATTTCACAAAAAAATATAAGATGAATCTATCTTAGAAAATTGGCAATTTTTAGTTTAAAAGAATACAGTGCGTCATGAATCTTTGAATTGATGAATATTACTAGAAACTTTTCTCCAAAATAAATATAACGATGACGATGATAAATGAATTTAAAGAAAGTGCAGTGACGGAGGTGTCTCCGAATATGATTTAGGTGACGAGAGTTCAATTTCACTACCTTTATCAGTTTCTCATTATGTAATACTATATTTCTACCTTCTTCCCGCAAAACAATTTCCATCATCTTCTATTCGAACGTTAGAGAGCTCTTCACTAATGATATTTTCACTTTGATACACGAACAAACAAATATTTATAGAAGGGTGTGTGTGGATGTGAGTGCTAGGTGATTAGGGTCTCCATACCCATAGCTACACCCATCCATACCCACCCTCAAGATGATAATCTTTATTGAGGATAAAATGAAATTTAATATCTTGAAAGACTACTGACAACGTATTGCGTAGATGAATTAGAATATGTGCTCAATAAGTGCATCATTGTTTAACTAAATATTTTAATGACATGTTTTTTTGATATGAAAGATTAACATGCATTCTCTTTTTATTATTTGCGTAGGTTGTTCAGACAAAAAATACCATTCTTCTTTCTTTTATCCAAGTTACGAATGGCTTTAATGAGAAATTCAAGTATTCTTTTATTAAATTTAAATTTATATTTTATATTCTATATTCAAAATTAATATGTCATACAATATATTTTGTATCAAAAAAGAAACATTGTCATACTAGTAATTAAAGATCCTCATTATCAATCGTGACAGTAATTTCTGTTAAGATGCTTTATAAATCAGAAATGACAAAAAAAGATTCTTACTTTTCTTTATATTAAATTTTAGATCTTCCAGTAAAAGGAGAAAAACACAAATAATAAATTATATCTCATTTTAAATAAAGTATCATGTCAACATCATCAATATCTGATGGAATTCTTCAATTTGCTACACAATATTCACTCTATACTGGTTATATTACATTTAGTTTTGGAATTATTGGTAATGTGTTGAATCTTCTTGTTTTTACTCAACTGAAACAATTTCGAACTAATCGATGTGTCTTTTATATAACTATTGAATCAATCTCCAACTTAGTTTATCAGTTTTTATCTATTACTCTGACTATTTTAACATCTATATATGGAGACGATGCAACAGGACGTTCTTCAATGTGGTGTAAATTAAGATATATATTGTTACAAATATGTGCACTCACTACTTATTCCATGGTATGTTTTTCTGCTGTTGATCAGTTCTTTTCAACGAATCATCGTTTCAATGTAAGACAAATGTGCACATTGAAACTAGGTCGATATTTTGCGTTTATATTCATTTGTTTTGCGATCATTCATAGCATTGCACTTGGCTCTTCTTACAATATTCAACCAACATTGGGATGTGTTCTATCGAATTATGTAGCGGTTCAGTATTCAACATATTTCTTTTTTCCAATTTTAATCGGTCTCCTACCTATTGTGGTTGCTTCATCATTTAGTATCTTAGCTTATCATAATGTTCGTCATATAGTTCGACGACAATTACCAATTGTTCGTCGTAAACTAGACAAACAAATAACAGCAATGGTTCTTATGCGTGTGATAGCCTTCGTTTGTTTGACACTATCTTTTAATGCTTATCGTATCTATACCATTAATTTTCCTACATCACAAAGTATGCCTATGGCATATGCAATTAGTCGATTAACTCAGGCAATTTTTATTTCTATCAACATTATCAATTATATGGTAAAATTATTCTCTTTTCTAATTCATATTTGTAATATTTGGATTTATTTTAGATCAGCTTTTATATTTTCATAATATTCTCATCACGTTTTCGTCGTCAAGTAAAACTTGTTCTAGTAAGAAAATATTGGCAACGGTGGAAATATTGGTGTTGTTACATAAATAATCGAATTGAATCTGACAACAATATTGAAAGACCCAATTCACAAATGGAATCTGAAGAAAAACTTTAACTGTTCATTAAATAAATAAACTAATTAATTCCTCTATTTCTATTTTGTCTCTTTCTAATAAATCGCATATAAATGTAATATTCATCTCATTTACCCTGAAGAAAGTGAGGATCATAGAGAAAATAAAAAGAATATTATCTCACATTCTCATTAATGAAGCCTCAACTTTTTATTTTCTTAATTGATTTATACTTTTTCTGAAGTTTCATTAATTTTGTACTGTTCTAATCTGTTTCAATATAATTATTGAGCGGCGCACAAGTGTCTCGTTCAACAGTATTCATCTATGAAATATTATCTCGAATCTTTTCTAGTTGCTATGAATTGTTTTGGTGATATTCAAGTGTTGTTGTATATTCATATATATTCAAGAACACTTTCGACAATGTTTGATGGGTACGCATGTGGTCTCTGAAGAAAATAATACTTATTGACAGTCACAACTACACTCACCTTTATACTCTATTCTGTATGTCATCTATGAGAAAGCATTCGCGATTGAAAGTATTAATAAAAAACGAATTTTATTACTATTTCTTTTCATTGAATACTAAAGTAAAATGAAATAATTCAAAAGATACAGAAGTTATATAAAGATTTTAATTGTTCGTATCTTAATGAGAATGTAATAATATGAATATATTTAATATTAATCTTATTGTTTTTCATATGATATAAATTTTATTTGATGATCAAATCAATTAATTTTGTTTATTTATCAAAGATAAATAATTGATACGAAAACTGAATTTTCATTGATTAATTTTTAATATTTCAATAAAGATGATCTATTATAAATATCTGATTATTAATCTTTTAAACAAAAAAAGTAAAACATTTGTATGAATAAAAGAATATTTTTTTGTATAGATGTATGATCAATCTCTAATATTATTTTATTAATATATCAAAATAAAATAATAAGACTTCATAATGAAAACTACTCAATATACAATAAAATAGTTCCGAATAGAATAAATGCTGAAATAAGATAATTGAATTCTTATTATTACTTTCTGTAATTATAGAAAGTGAAATAATTTATTAAAAGCAATTATAATATTAGTAGAAAACTAATAAATTTGATAAGATTAAAATAGATAAAAGAAACATTCATATTGAAATATATTAGATTTATTATATAAAAAAAAACCTTCGAATTTGAGATTAAAAAAAAGAAGAAGTTTTATTTGTTAAAATAATTAACGAATAATAAATTTATTATTTAGTTTTTTTTTATAGAATATTTTTATTAGAGTATCTTCAATTGAATAATAAAAGTAGATTTTAAAATAATCGTTTATATTTAGTTTCTTATAAAAATATATATATATTATAATTATGTTTAATTCTTCTTTTATCAATAAAGATGGAGAAGATATTTATGTATGAAAATGCGAATCATGTCAGGAATGTCCTTTAGAAAATGTCCTGGACGAAATGTCGTCCAGTTTTGGTCCTCGCAAAAAATGTTCTTTAAATTTTGTCCTTTAGAAAACGTCCTCGAACTAAACGTCCTTGAAAAAAATGTCTTCTAAAAATTTGTCCGGATTTGAAAAATGTCCTTTACATTTAAATAAGAGAATTTCGAATGAAGCGTATCTAAAACATAGATGATGCTGTAATTTAACTAAAATTCATAGTGTCCTAAGTAAGTCGAATAGAGGATTTACCTTTATATACAAGGAGTGAAAGAAAAGAAAAGGGTGTGGGTGTGGGTGAGATTGTGAGTGTGGGCGAATGTGGGTAGCTGTGGGTACTTTACCCTTTCAACACCGACACCCACACCCACACCCTAGTTCCTAATCTAACTATCCAAGTAGATTCTAATATAAACTGAATTATTTTGAAATTCACTTTTTTTTTATTTACCATATAATTCCTTCCCGTAAAACCAGTGTATTTTAATAAATAAAACTATTGTAATTGAATAAGATTATATTATTTATTAATATTTAACACAACAAATTAGATACTTATTAAAATGGGATTTAATTCAAGTTTTTTAACAGAATAAAAACAATTCATAATTAATTCTTGAGGACGGATGAGGGTGTGAGTGGGTGCTAGGTGAATACCGTCTCCATACTCACACCCACACCCTCAAGATGCTTTTTCGATTTTTTTGTCTTTCATATTTTCAATAAAACTCTCAATATTTCAACCGATCATTTTGTCAAAATAATCATTTAACACAAAGTCTGATAGTTATTACTTTCTCTTACTTTATCACCAAATTTTAAAAAACTCTTATGTTTTTTATTTTCATTATTTTGCAGTAATGCTTATGTTGAATCTATATCGTCATAAATGCAATATTTAGTAAATGACAAGCGGAACTATATGACAACAGGATTAGTATCAGCTGAATTAAAAATACGTTTGAATTCTACTTTGAAATATGCTGATATGTACAAATATATACTATCGAACCAAGATATATTGAAAGCCATTAGGTCAGATGAAAAATATACGTTTAGAAAAAATGTTGAGAAAATATATTTATCTATATTTAATTTTGTGCACTAGAATATAAAATATAATGCTAAACCTTCTTATTATTTTATTATGACAAGGCTTAAACCATAGTTTGATATTTAAAAGTACTTTCTGCTTTTCGAAGGGCAGACGGTGGCAACACTATTAAGGACAAAATGAAATTTAATATCCTAAAAGACTACTGACAATATATTCCGCAGATGAATTAGAACACGTGTCACGTGTTCAATAAGTGCATTATTATTTAATACTTTGGCGACGAGCTTGTTTTTTTGTTGACAAATAATTAGAAAAAAGAAGTCCTTAGAAATAATTGACTATTAATTTTTAATTAACTTCATTTCCTGTTTGAGATGTATTACAAATATGTATATAATACATTCTGGAAGTTTATAGCAATATGAAACAGAATAATAAATAGATAGTTCCCGTCTTGTGATTTCAACAAATTCAGAAACGACGACGTATAAAAGTGTTACTCGTCTTCAAAGAGTTAATTAAATATTTCAATGAGATATTTGTTTGACCTGAAAGATAAACATGCATCCTCTTTTTATTATTTACGTAGGTTGTTCAGACAAAAAACACCACTCTTCTTTCTTTTATACAAGTTACGAATAGTTCTAATGAGAAATTCAAGTATTCTTTCATTAAATTTAAATCTTATATTTTATATTCAAAATTAATATATTATTCAACAGATATAACATATTTTGTTTTAAAGAAGAAAACATTGTCATACTAGTAATTAAAGATTTTTATTATCAATTGTGACAGTAATTTCTGTTATGATCTTCTATGAACGGCAAGAACAGATTAATTTTTTTTTTATATTAAATTTTAGATCTTCCAGTAAAAGGAGAAAAACACAAATAATAAATTATATCTCATTTTAAATAAAGTATCATGTCAACATCATCAATATCTAATGGAATTCTTCAGCTTGCTACACAATATTCACTCTATACTGGTTGTATTACATTTAGTTTTGGAATTATTGGTAATGTTTTAAATCTTCTTGTTTTTACTCAATTGAAACATTTTCGAACTAATCGATGTGTCTTTTATATAACTATTGAATCAATCTCCAACTTCATTTATCAAATCTTCAATATTAGTTTAACTGTTTCAACATCAATATATGGAGATGTTACGATAGGAGGTTCTAGTGCTTGGTGTAAATTAAGATATATAGTGGGACAAATATGTGCGCTCACTACTTATTACATGATATGTTTTTCTGCTGTTGATCAGTTCTTTTCGACACATCATCGTTACAATTTAAGGCAAATGTGCACATTGAATCTAGGTCGACATCTTTCGTTTATATTCATTTGTTTTGCAATCATTCATAGCAGTGCACTTGGCTCTTCCTATGATATTCAACCAACACTAGGATGTATCATATCGAATTATGTGGCAGTCCAGTATTCAACATATTTCTTTTATCCAGTTTTAACCGGTCTTCTACCTATTACCATTGCTACATCATTTAGTATTTTAGCGTATCGTAATGTTCGTCATATAGTTCGACGACAATTACCAATTGTTCGTCGTAATCTAGACAAACAAATAACAGCAATGGTTCTTATGCGTGTAATAGCCTTCGTTTGTTTGTTATTACCGTATATTACTTATCGTATCTATGTCATTAATTTTCCTACATCACGAAGTACGCCTATGGCATATGCAATTGGTCGATTGATTCAAGCAATTTTTACTTCTATCTACATTATCAATTACATTGTAAATAGATTTTCTTTTCTAATTTATATACGGAAGAATTTGATTTATTTTAGATCAGCTTTTATATTTTCATAATATTCTCATCACGTTTTCGTCGTCAAGTAAAACTTGTTCTAGTAAAAAAATGTTGGCATCAATGGAAATACTGGTGTTATTCCATAAATAATCAAATTGAACCTGAGAACAATATTGAACTATGCAATTCACAAGTGGAATCTGATGAAAATATGTAATTGTTCATTAAATAAATAAACTAATTAATTCTTATATTCCTATTTTTTCTCTTTATAATAAATCATATATCTATGTAATATTTATTTCATTTACCCTAAAGAAATTCAGTATCATAGAAAATAAAAAGAATATTATTTCACATTTTCATTAATGATGCTTCAACTTTTTTTAACTTTCTAAATTGATTTATACTGTTTCTGTAGTTTTATCAATATAAACATCTTTGTCTTACTAGTTTTGTACACTTCTAATCTGTATCAACATAATTATTGAGCCACATCAGTGTCTCGTTCACCAGTATTCATATATATTCAAGAACACTTTCGACAATGTTTGATGGGTATGGATGTGATCTCTTAAGAAGATAACGCACACCCACACCCTCACGATGGTTTATCTATTAGACTATGAATCGTGATACTATGTTAGTAGATTATTGACAAAACATAGCATCTTTGTGATGAGTCAAAGTTATTTTTATTTCAATTAAAGAAAGCAACTGTGTCACCATCTCATCTTCTCACGTAATGATTTAACAAGATCGAATAAAGCTTTTCGAAATATACTTCCTCCAGTCAGCGTATAAATATAGAATGGCATTCCAGAAGCGGCGTTCACAAGATTAAGAAGTAGATTAAAGATAAAGTTTTCAATAGTATTTCGTAATGGTGATTTGTATGTGTTTCTTGTGAATGTTGTATACAATTTCGATAAAGCAAGTGGAAAAGTTAATGCAAGAATGACAAGAATTTGGACGAAAAGCATCTTTAACAATTGTCGATCTGTTTTCTTTTGACGTCCAAAGACGACTGTTGTTGTATGCTGACCGTCATTACTATCAATCGGCATATTCATTGGTCGCAGACGAGCTTGTGTTTGACGTACATTCGAGATAATCATCAGACCAAGTATAAACATAACTAACAATGGAATCAAAACAGTAATCAAAGCAAAGGTCATGTCCGATAAGATGCTGCATGCTACTGTTTTTGTATAACATTTAATTGGTGCATTGGTAAGATTGGCTTCAAAACAAACGAGCTGTTGTATCTGAATCATAGTTGAAACAATCATAATGCAAATCATACCATGTTGTGCATTCTTCAACGTACTTTTTTGTCGATGATTAGCATTGATACTTGACGAAAGCCATCGATCGATAGTAGCCAACATAATAAGCCAAAAAGCAATAGTTAGTGAATTGAAAAAGATAAAAATACGAAGTTTGCAAAGAAGCGGATTTGTATTTGTCAGATCAGCATTCCAAGAAGATAAAAATCGAGGAACAAGACCAGAAACAATACTTATAGAATAAGCCATTGATGAGACAAGAAATAGCCATGAGCAAGGATTTAACCGGAGAGCCCGTTGTGAAAGAACAAGTGTATTTAGAGCATTACCAATAATTCCGAAAAGAAAAATAGAAATTGCCAAATAACGATTGAGTTGATTGGTAGTATTATTCAACAAGGTGATGATGTTTGCATCCGATGACGATGACATTTTTGCACTAAATGAATGATGATGACTAAGTTTAACAAAATATTATTTCACGACAGCATATTTCATAATTTTAATAAGCTTGATCTATTTTAATAACAATGCACTTTTCGAAATTAAATATAATGGTAGAGAAAAGTCATATTCAGTAGAAATGTCATGATTAGAGATTATTTTTTTACTTTGTATATATGTTTCCTCTTCAATCATTAATATCATTTGTTATCATAAGACTAAAATTCTTGTCAACAGTAGACGAGTACGTAGTTAGAAATCGAAAAGAATGATAATTTAATATAATCAAAAAATGCGAAGAAAATTGTCGGTGATATGTCTGATAATTTACTGCTTTTGACAATGTTTTTAAGATGGGAAAACAACTGCATTTCTAAAAGATTTTTTTCTTGAAACCATTATCATGAAATAAGAAATATCTTCTATTGTTTGTATACTTTGCATACTATATAGGAATTCAAGGATATGTCTTGGAATCCGGAAAACAAAAATTCGGAAACCATCTTGAGGGTGTGGGTGTTGTGTGAATGCTTTATTTACACCCACACCTTCCAGCCCAATTCAATACTCGACGGCGATGAGATCCATCGCGATGAACATCTCATGGGACTTCTTTACTGGTGGCTAGTAAAAAGTGCACTACATCACTCCTCTTCTTTCTTGTACATGCTTCTTTGTTAAATAAACTGTTGAATCTTTTTTCAAAAATTTTCCGGATTTTTTTCTGCGGAATTCAAGTCATACTAATTATGGAATACATGAAGAATAAAAGACTTTCTGTTGTTTTTATTTACATTATATTTATTATCTACGTACCTTCAAACTGATCTACTGTAATTTTGATTGATCACTTGAGGATGATAAATGATAAAAGAAAACGTCTCTTTTTTGTAATAGGAAATGTCTGTGTGACTTGTATAGAAAGTACTTGATTATATAGAAGAGAAGAAAAAAATTGAATGTCGGTTACAGATAGATTAAAAATAAAGATGTAAAAAAAAGAAGAACTATTTGAGGACAAATCTTGAGATCAACGAGATATTTCATTGGATCGTTCTGCGTCTAAAATTGACTTATTCCGCTCGTGTAAAGCATCAGAAGAAAGAAAGTTTTTCATGCAAGAAATGATAAGGAATTCACTAAAAATTTGCTTTTTTTTCTCGAAACATCCCATAGATACTTTTAATTATAATTATAAGTACTCAACAATGTTGCGAACTCTTCTGGTTTTTTCGGATTTGAGATGAGTTTTATTGAATTACATTTTATCTATTTGTTAATACTCATAAAAAAATTTATATTTGACAGTGGCTCATAGTTCTTATATATTTAGTTTATTATGTTTTGAATTTTGCTGTCGATTTTCTTTTGATACATACAAAACATGTGTTTTTTAAAATAATAAGTGGTATAATTGAGAACAAGATTTTGAGAAATTTATTTTAGTCGGTAGAAACTAACTGCTAAACACCTTTCTGGAATTTTCATATTAGAATTCCGGTTTTCTGGCTATGACAGTTGGCATCACTGGTACTCAACAATATTATTTTATAAGAAAAACAAAATCTTCATTAAGAATAACATATATATAGAACATGTTTTAATTGAGAAATGTCTGCTATTTTGAACAAATAATTAATATGTCAAATAAATGCGCTTAATGTTTATGTTAAAGTAATTTCCATTGAATTTTTTAAATAATTTTTAGACTTTAAGTTCAAACACATTCGAGATCAAATATATATTTTCATATTAATTGAACTGATTGTTTTATTATGTCTTTTTCACTTTTAGGATGATATTATATTAATTATTTTATGGGAGCGGGTGTGGGTGTGGGTAAGCGAGAAGGAGATAGCACTCACACCCACATCCACTCAATTCAAAAAATATTCATATTAATTTAATTGAGACATTATACTTTTTCACAATGATGAAGATGAAGAACCCTTTTTAGTCAATCGATGTTATTTGTGACAAACTTATCTATGATTAATTGATTAAACTATGATCATTTTATTTGTCTTGAGTAAATAAGTTCATCTTAAAATTTGTTTTCGATTATTATCAATCATCTTTTCTTCAAAAATGCACAATGAAAGTATTTACTCAAGATGAGAGGTCTGCTCTTCTTCTACAAAACTACGTAGTTCGATTAATTACTTGATTCTCATTCAAATTATCAGTTAAATGTGGTTTATATTTTAATGAAGAGGTTGATTATTTATTTTAGTTATGAAAATAAAACCAACACAAAAACAAAAAACGTCAGATATATGATTCAATGTTGTATATATATAGTTATAAAATGAAGAAATAATTTTCAATCGACTCAAATTCTTGGAAGTTTAACCACTTGGTCGCTATTTGTACTAAGTAGGTACAAATTGAGATCCGAATCAAAAGCAAGAGCCACTGGTTTCTTGAGTGAAGGTACAGAATTATTATCTTCAGCAACAACAATACCAACTGTTGAATTAACACAATACATAACTATTCGATCATTATCTCTATCAGCAACATATAAATTACCATACGGATCTAAAACTATGCCTGTTGGATTGTTGAGAGTATTATGTTGACTGTCATTGACTGTTTGAAGACTCATATTTTGACTTGATGCACCAAATGTCCATACACGTATTTTATTGGAACCTTGGTCACACATATATACTTGATTCGATGAATATGGCACGCGAATCATGCCATAGACATTATTCAGACTACTATCACTGATCAGAAGGGTACCATTTATCGCATATGAAACCCATTTTACCAATCGTGTATTCCCCATATCAAGAATATAAATATTTGAGGTATTGTCAATATCAATCGCTGTTGGTTGGTCTAGATCAGTCAATGCACTTGAATGACTGCCAATCGTTCCAGCAACAGTTGTGCCGTTAATAGAGTCTGGAGCAAACTTTTGTACGCGGTTATTGCCATTATCAACGACATACATAAAACCATTTTCATCAAAAGTAAGATCTATGGGAGTTTTTAGCAATGTCGATGTTGAACCTTGAGTACCTGTACTATCTCCAGCCACTGTCGTACCTGTTGTAGCACCTTGAATCCATTTCTGAATGCGGTTGTTATCATGATCACAAATATATAGAGTATTATTATTGTCGATGTACAAACAACTTGGATTTTTAAGTTGATTCGCACTTGAACCTGATGTTGTTCCAGCAACGATTTGACCTGTTTGATTCCAACGTAGACTGTTACCTTAAATAATAGATTAAAATTTAAACATATCTTATCATTTTTATATAAAATAACTAACAGGAATTAAATGGTATTGTAGTTGTCGTTGCTAAATAAAAACAAATAAAAATTGTTTATAAATCTTCATGCATTTTGAGTGTGTGGATGTGGCTGATATATCAATCTTGTGCTCTTACCCATGCCTTCAAGATGAAATATTCCATGCTTTATTATTATTAAAAAACTGCTATCGTATAGCAGTATTAGAAATTTCTCTTGACTAGTCGTGATGAGATTCTAGATGTGGATATAATTTTAACCATCACTTACTTCCACACCCTCATATGAGTTATTTTCATAAGATTTACTCGCTGATGAAATTATAAGTACTCATCTAAGTTTTTCCTTAAGCATTTACCGAAACACTGATGCAGTATAATATACAAAAATAAAGAAAAATAAACTAATTAAATGCAAAATAGGACAAAAATCTTTTAATGACTTATTTGTGTTATCGTCTATTTTTTTCTGATGAGTTATTTATTTAAATGTATTGAATGGCCATTTCAAGAATAGAAAAACGACTTGTTCTTTTCTCGAGTACAGTCAGAGACTTTTTAAACATATAAAAGATAATATATTGAATTTGGTTTAATAACTTTTACATTAAAATACATTTCTTTTCAGACAAAATAAGAAAAGTAACGAAAAAAAAGATGGATAATAACTTGAGGGTATGAGTATGGTATTATATTCATTCTACACTCACATACACACCCTACACGCATACCCACGCCCATATACCTTGAATTGTATCTAAAGAAAACAAGTACTCACTGGATGAAATGCTCGCTGTTGTAACATCGCTAACAGGCAGTTGTAAAAAGTAAAATGAACTTGTCGAATAATTTATTAGTGAGAATGATCTCGCGTTAGAAGATGTCGAGAACATTTCACATGTCTCATTATTCTGGAAACAGTTCAAGAATGAAAACGCTGTTGTATTCAGCATCATTGCACACAAGCATTCATTGCAAGTACCATTAACTGATTTTGAATTCGGATCGTACATCAACAATGAAACATTTTGAATCATACCAATGGAAACGGGGCTACTCGAAATAGTTTCGAAATGTTGAAAAAGTAAAATGTAAAGGAATAATTTCCACATTTAATTGTGACAGTGAATGGAAAATGAGAAGAGGTGTAATAAATCAACCCGTTGTTAGAAAAATCAGTTTGCCGATGAAATGCAAACTGATTCGGTCGTTTATTTTCCTGAAAGAAAAGGCGTTGTTCAAACACTTTATATAACTTCAGAATCGATCGATCGATCGACAATGTGTATGAATAATTTAGTGAGAAAACAAAATCAAATTGCTATACTGTTTTTCTTCTTATCGGTGATTGGGTGTTAGTCAGATAAGTTTAGTTTATAGAAAAACAACAATCATTTTATCGTCCGAAAAGAAATTGAAGATTTTTCTCTCGTCGTACTGCGAAAAAAGAATAACACGGAAGGTATTATCAGCCTTTATCATTTGCACAGAAAAAAACTGAAAAGAATTTACTTAAAAACGTGTCTTCTAATGTAAACATAAAAAATTACTTGTTTATTCTCAAGTGCATTTTTCATATGTTCAATTCCAGAGCAAAGAATTAATATCCATCACGAGGATGTGAATGTGATATGAATATTTAGTTTATTACACACTCACATCAGCACCCACACCCACTTTTGTATTATTCTTCTACATAATAACTATTTATTTATGAAAAAAATTTCAATAATTTCAGGTTTTTATTTATATTTAGATGTCAAATATGAACAATTTGGAATTACAGTTGCTGGAGGAAACCAATTCGGGAATCAATCAAATTAACTCAATTGCCCTCGTGGTATATGAATTGATGATGATAAAAACATTTATATTGCTGATTTTGGAAATGATCGTATTGTGAGATGAAAAACCAATAAAACGAATGGTCAAGTAGTGACTGGTGGAAATGAATCAAGATATAGAGCTAATGCATTGAATAATCCAATGCATATGATTATTGACAAAAGAACTGATTTATTTATCATTTCCGATACTGGAAACGGACGGATACTTCAATAGGATCGTCAAAATAATAGATATGAAAAGGATATCATCTCAGGTATCAACTGCAATTGTCTAACAATGCATAAAAATGAATATCTTTTTACTACTAATACTAAGACGATGAAGTAAAACGATGGTAAATCGGGGAGAGTTGTGATACAATTGCAGGTGCAAAAGGACAAGGAAATAAGCTCAATCAACTCAATTATCCCTCTTCTATTTTCGTCGACAAAGACGATTCATTGTATGTATCTGATATGTTGAATCATCATGTAATGAAGTGGGTAAACAATGCAGAAGAAGGAATTATTGTAGTTGGCAGACAAGGTGAAGGAAATAAATTGACACAATTGTCTCGTCCTACAGGATAGATTGTCGAGCAATTTCATCATATCTATATTGCAGATTCTGACAATGGTCGAATAATGCGTTGGATTGAAGGAGAAAGCGAAGGAACTATTGTTGTTGGTGGAAACAACATAGGAGAGAAATTAAATCAGTTCAATGATCCTCTTGGTTTGTCATTTGATCAAGTTGACAATCTTTATGTTGTCGATTCTAAAAATCATCGAGTATAAATGTTGAAATTAAAGTAGTTTATCTAATCAAATAAAACTTCAGTAAATCATGATTTTTTTTATTTGAAAGGTTTTTTCTTTAACAAAATTAGCTGAAACAATCTCGAAAACGACATTATGAATATTAGACAATTCGTCCTCATATCTTTATCTCCATTTTTCTATGCAAACAGTTTTGTGGTACTGTCAATTTCTCATACTGTAGAAACGATATAAGGAATAATATGTGTGTTTTATTTGTATATCCAAAATCGTAATATTATAATATGTTCTCCACCTCTTTTATGTTATTTCATGAAAGAAAAATTCAATAAAAACAAAAACAGATAAATAGAAGGAGTAAAGTCAAATTTGTAAGAGGATAAAAATTAGAATATGGATACAAAAGAAAAACATCAAGAATATCACTCAATATATGAGAAGAAGGAAAAATAGACACTATACATCACTAAACAAGGAACGATAATTATAATATAACGACGTTCATACATAAAAAAAAGAGAAAGAGAGAGAGAGAGATAAGTATGTTTCATGGGTGAAGAAGATACTAGTGTTTATTTATATGCGCAACAAATATAAGGGAAAGAAAATTATAGGATACATGGCATTGGATTGTCACACACATGTCTTATGAAAAATAAGAAGATTTCTTTTTATAAAAAGTTTGAAATCACACAAGTAATACGCTTAAAACTTAAACAAAAAGCAGAAAAGCGATAGTGTTTATCAATGTCATTTCGTTAATAGAAGTCATCTCAATTAAGTTAACGTAACATACATTGCTATAGGTCCTGCATCAGTATTACCATTTCTCAGATAATATGATATTATATAGTAATCCCCAGGTACAGTAGAAAACGATTGTTGCAGATAATCAGTATTTTTACATGAATCGAAAACACAGTATGATCCTGTAAAGCACGGGCTTGTTACCGTATGCGAATAATAACCAGCAACACAATTGGCAGCCGTGTTACATGACTGTGTCCAGCCAGTTAAATTTCCTGTTTCAAATCCACCATTAATTAGAACATCTGCGTTTGCATTGGTATGGTTCACAGACACTTCGTCTAATAACCAGTAGTGATTGGCACCTGTTCCGTCCTCACCCGTTATAATAAATGAAAGAGTTGCTAAGGTACTATTTGCCGTGAAATTAGACGTGTATTTTGTATACGTCATGAGCGGAAAATTTGCACCATTTTTAGCGAAAGAATTAATCTGTCCTGGTGGATTGCCAGGAAAAGTGCTGCACGTTGGTGCTATTGAGAGTGAAATAACATTCAATAAAAAAGAATAATCATACGTTCGAAAACTTACTTGTTGTCGCCACTGTCGTCGTTGTTGTTGTGGTCGTTATTGTTGTTGTTCTTGTTGTTGTCGTTGTCGTTGTGGTTGTTGTTCTTGTGGTCGTTATTGTTGTTGTTGTCGTTGTCATTGTTGTTGTCGTTGTCATTGTTGTTGTTGTGGTTGTGGTTGTTATTGTTGTTGTTCTTGTTGTTGTCGTTGTCATCGTTGATGTTGAGGCTAAAAAAGTACAAAATGATAAATTACAATCAAACGACATCACAACAACTTCATAATATATCTCGAAACAAATGAAAATTCTGCGAAGTTTTCAGATCAAAAGATTTTATTCTTCGATGGTATTGAAAGAGACATAGCACGCCATGGGTTTAGCTTTCATTGAAAGTTCTCAATATATCTTTACTAATTACCAATACTTCTTAAATATTTTTATAGAAAACGAATGACTTGCTCTCATGCTAAATATAAAAGATACTCTGCCCGTTTTCCTTATGATATTACTTCCAAATCTTTATCAATTGAACGACGCAACTGACGAAGGTCGACTGGTTGATAATCTTAAGTGCAACAGTAAAATATTGCTCATTCTAATCATAGAATGTATTCAATGAAATATCCATTTAATCAATCAAGTATTATCGATTTTTTGGAAAAAAGACGATTAGAGAAAATGCATATAACGGTTGGAGTGGATGTAATAGTGGCCCGTGGTTTTCATCGTTGAATAGAGAAGATCAGGACACATTGAACTGTATAATAAAGAATTTGAAAACGAGTTAAGAGCTATCAGAGGGTGTGGGTGTGGATATAGTTTTACATATGATGAGCTCACATCCACCCTCAAGATGTTCTCTTCCATTTTTTTCTGATGAATTATTTATTTAAATGTATTAAAAAGGCTATTCTAGAAATCGAAAACTGACTTGTTCTTTTCTCGAGTACTATCAGAAATGTTTTTAAACATATAAAGATAATATGTTGAATTTTGTTTTATAACTTCTAGATAAAAATATATTTCTTTTCAAACACATTGACAAAAATAGCAAAACAAAAGATGGATACTAACTTTTCTTATAAGTCGGTGAGAGTCTTATGTTCTGTAATGATACACATTATCTTAAAGATCATTTTTATTATCTTTTATTGTTTGTTATTTAATAGACGTTTTTTTCCAAGTGATCAGTCTGATACTTTTTTTTAATTATATATCGTGATTTGATAAATAATTTTCTATAATTTCTACTGACTGATGTTGTACCACCATCAATACATGTTTTTATTCATTCCTTTTTTATTTTGTAAAAGTGAGATGCTTATTGATATTTTCTACGAAAAATTCTAAACGTAATGTAATGTGTTCAGTTCTCTGATTTAGTATCTTAATAATTTTTGCATTAACTTTGTATCTAATTAAGATAAATGTACTAGAACGCTTCAGAATATAAAGCTATGAGTACTCTCTTGGCGAGTACATTGACTAGGCGTAGTTTCAAAATTCGATATGATGAAATCTAAAACTGTTTAAAAATCGATTTCATTGAACAAAATTTTCTAGATGCGAGATCAACATATCGAATTCTATTACTGTTCATTTGATAAATGACTATTTCAGCTAAAACAGCAAAGGGATTTTCTTAAGAATACATTATCTGATCGTTGCAATGTTTTTCATATACTTTGAACTGTATCTAAAGAAAATAAGAACTCACTGGACGAAGTGCTCGCTGTTGTAACATCGCTAACTGGCAGTTGAAAAAAGTAAAATGAACTTGTCGGATAATTCATCAGTGTGAATGATCTCGCGTTAGAAAATGTCGAGAACATTTCACATGTCTTATTATTCTGGAAACAGTTCAAGAATGAAAACAGTGTTGTATTTAGCATCATTGCACACAAGCATTCATTACAAGTACCATTAATTGATTTTGAATTAGGATCGTACATCAACAATGAAATATTTTGAATCACACCAATCGAAAAGAGGTTACTCGAAATAGTTTCGAAATGTTGAAAAAGTAAAATGAAAACGAACAATTTCCACATTTTATTGTAACAGTGGATGAAAAATGAGTAGAAGTACAATATATCAATCTGTTATTAAAAAATCTCAGTTTGTTTAGAAATCAGTTTGCCGATGAAAAGTAAACTGATCCGTTGGTTTACTTTTTTGAAAGAAAAGGAGTTGTTCAAATATTTTATATGAGTCGAGAATCAATCGATGAATCGCCCGACAATGTGTATGAATAAATTAGTAAGAAAAGAAAATCAACGTAGTATGTTGTTTGTTTTCCTGTCGTTGATTGGATGCTAGTCAAACAAGTTTTGTTTATAGAAAAACAACAATTATCTTACCTTCCGAAAAAAAAATTGAAGATTTTTCTTTCGACGCACTGTGAACGAAGAATTCACTCAAAAACGTTTCTTCTGATGTAAACATAAAAAATTACTAGTTTATTGTCAAGTGCATTTTTCATATATTCAATTCCAGAGCGAAGAGTTAATATCCATCACGAGGATGTGGGTGTTTTATGAATATTTAGTTCATTACACACTCACATACTCAAGATATAAAACTTCTCTCAGTTTCAGTCAACTTGAAATTTTGAAAAACCTGACCAGTATCCATCTCTGTTACATACTGCGTCGTTGAGCTCACTAAAAAAAGGTATCGTATGCAATATCTGGATGTTATAGTATGACTTTACCAGACTATTTGATATATTCAAAGAAATCAATAAACAAGACGAATAGATGTTACATTAAGTTATAGAGATTTTATGTATAATGGGAAGTAGTTGATAGTGATGCCAACAAATGACTGACAAGTCTGACACTTTAAAAACTTAAGTGATGACCGAAAAAACCGAATCTTCACCGTAAAAGATGGATTAAATTGTATAAATCTGTTTTTTCTTTTTGTGAATATATAGGTTATGATAAAGTAGAAAGTACCGTCTAATAAATACTGTTTGATCTTGATCAAGTTAAAATTAGTCGAAGATGAAGCAACTTTCCTCGACGAGCGCTATTTGTTTTATTTGTTTCCCGAGGGATGAGTGTTACTTGTGTTAAAATGTGGTTCATTTTTTTTTCTTTCATTCACATTAAGATATTTTACAAATATACACTTTACTCAATATAGTTCAGATATACATAAAATGATTAAAAAATTAAAAGAAAAAAAACTCATATCACTCATATTACAAAAAGAAAATATTTGTATATTATAATAATAAATAAAAGTCTTTTCCACAGTTTATATCTTCTGAATTAGTATCAAATAAATAAAATCTTATTTTCACTATAGAATTTTCATTAGACTAATATCAGATGTGAATATGCTATATTATCCATATAAAATGCGTGTATCTTGTTAATGTTAAGTCTATGAATAATATTTTATATATGATTCGACATGAAACTGAGTCATAAATAAGTAAGAATAAAAAACATGATGAAATAGAATCAATATTCTTTCGTCGATATTTCAATGACACAGTGCCAATGTAATTGCGAAATATTTTACAAAATAACAGCGTCATCAGTTAAAACGTGGCACACGTTATAACTGTATATAAATATAGATAGATAATTCCATTAACATTAAGTATTATTAATATTACAAAATGACAATAGATTCACCATTATCATCAACTACAAATCCAAAGCCAATCATTGCTCTTGATTGTGATGGAGTTCTTTTAGATTATCATGCAACATTTGCACAAATTTATGAGCAAACTTTTGGAAAAAAATTAACAATTGTTTCACCAAATGCTCATTATGTAAGTTTTATTCAATCTTTGACAAGAAAAAAATACTAATTAACTATACATATAAATAGGCTGAAAGAAAATATAATGTCAATTTTAATAATGAAGAAAAAGAACAATTTAAACAAGTATGGAATGAATATGGTTGGAGAAGAATGCCAATGCATGATGGAGCATTAGAAGCATGTCTTTTATTACATGAAGCTGGTTATGAATTAATTTGTGTTACAGCAATGTCTTCTAATTTTATTGAACATCGATTAGAAAATTTTCGTTTACATGGATTTCCCATTGATAAAATCATTAGTTCTGGTTATGATAAAGATAATTTTAATAATAATCCAAAAAGAAAAATTATTGAAGATTTAAATCCAGTTGTATTTGTTGATGATTTAAGAAGAAATTTTAATAATATTCAACATGTTCATACAAAACTTATTTTTATTGATCATGAACGTGAAGATGATCCAAATCAACATGATAATATTTATTATGATGCTAAATATGGAAGTCTTTTAGAATTTGTTAAAGATTTTCTGAAAACAAAACAACATGGAGAAGATATAAAGTGGTCACAAAGACCATCTCATCTTATTCCTTTTATTTAATTATCTAATTCTTTTTTTTTGTTTCAATAAAGTTGTTACTCATTTATCTGCATGTCTCGAACTGCAAAGTACCTATATAAAATAGAAAAGATCTTGACACAGAGGCATCAGATTAGGTGTTCTCTCTCTCATTTAAAACTAAAAACATTTTAAACCAAGATTGAGAAGTAAAATTTAGGGAAAGATATTTAAGCTGTTCGAAATCTTTTAATTACATTTTCTAACGTTCAAGAGAGGTTAGACCAAGACTTAAATTGTTAGTGCTTTTGGTTATTTCCTTTCAAATCATGATCATGCTTGGCATATATGTGTACAGTAGATGTTTGATGAAAGTCATGTTCTCTGTACGTTCACATCTACATCCATCTTTTAAGTTGTTAGCTTATCTTTTACGTAGAGAAGAACAGAAAAGCCTGATTGATAAATAAATTAACATAGATGACTTATCTGTTGTATTTGTTTAATTCCATTTGCAAACTTTGTTCGATATTCTTATTTATTATGATTTATTTTCTGGAGTAAAATTATATACTTAAGTCAGATGAATGTGCAAAAAATACGCATATATGAGAATTATTGTTAAAATGAAACTAATGTGCAAACTAAAGAAGAAATGTTAATGTCAACTATTTCATAGCTAATGTCATATAGATTATGATGCTTGTATTGTATAACAAACATAATATCTCAGAAACGATTAATTCAGTGTCACATCCAAGACTGCATCATTATCGTTACCATTTGATGTTTTCTCAGAATAGACCCAATAACTAATAGTATATATGACACCACTTATGGCACTAAACGATTGTGAGATCGATGTAGAACTAGAGGCATAAAAGGAATGACTCGATGAATGGGATTGAGCGCTAGATATAGCTCCACCAGATCCAGTATTCCATCCAGTTAATGTTGGACTACTTTCAAAATCACCATTTGTCAACATTTCTACTAATGTTGAATTTTTCACGGATATATCATCTAGATACCAATCATGTTTATTGGAAGTTGTCATAGTGAACTTGAGTATCAAATTTCCCGATATAGCTGACATATAAGTACAATTGAATAATGTCCACGTATTATCATTTATGTTTTTGTCACTAAGGGAATTCAGTTCTGGATTTTGTGTTGTCATAGTTGGGGTGGCTACAATGAAGAGAGTAGAGATACATTGCGATATACATTTCACTATCAATAAATACTCACTTGATGTAGTTACTGATGTTGTTGTAGTTACTAAAACAAACAGATAATTTCATTTCATTCTATCGATGTCAAGAAAAATATTAATAAAATATCGTATTCTCGTCATACATTGTACGATTTTTGGTTACATATTTGCTTAACCATAGTGATACATTAGGTTTTTTATAACAATTCACTGGCAAGAGATAGCTTTTTAACCTGATTATTTCAGTTTTTTTTCTATAAGTATGTTCACTAGAATGCATTTTATTTTTATTTGAGTTGATTATGGAAATTATCAGTAATAAACTAGCACCAGCTAAGAACAACAAATTCATATACGAAGTTGAGCTGAAGACAACTACTTCTATCTATATATCAAAATTTGTTTTGATATAGAACTCGGTCTTTAATTCTGTTGGGAAAAAAACTGATCCATCTGAGATTAGTGATATTTTTCTTCTATAATTGAGAATATTCATTTAGAATAAGTGTGACACACTAAAGTTTGAGTTCCAAATATAACCTTACTACTGAAGTAATAAGTTGAATCTCTAGACAAGGTTGTCAAAATAGATAACTCAATTTCATAAGAAAACACTCATACGAGATCAAAATCTTCCATATGTTATAATCTTTTATATTTTAAAAGGCATACTCGAGGTCGTTGATGTTGATGTATTGGTGCTTGTTGTACTTCCTGAAAGTTACATATAATAATATTTCAATATCTAAATAAAAATCTTACTTGTAGTTGTAGTGGTTTGAGAAATAGTCGATGTGCCTAGAATTTATCATAAACTAAGATGTTTATCATCAGGTAGGCAAGTTTTTCTTACTTATACTTGTCGTACGAGTACTCGTACTTGCCGTACCGGTACTTGTAGTACTTGGACTCATTGTTGATGCTATTTTAGAATAAAGTCATATAAAGCAGTATAGTAAGAAACAATAAACCGTCTACTTATATATATATATATATATATATATATATGAATAAGTATATCTAAATCTATTCCTAACTATACCTGAATCTACAAGACTATGTATATATTAATATAAGTGCTTATCTTCGAAGTGATATTGTTAATTCGATATCCGTTTATATTCGAACTCGAATTAGGCATCTCATGGATTCAAACCAATATCAGATCAAACTCTGAGCACTCATTTATATTGCAATTCTCGGTACAAAATCTGAAGTTTTAAACAGAACTAACTGTATTTATACATAAAAAGCAAACCATGTTTTCTAATGTCATATTAGCATCTTGAGAGTGGGTGTGGATGTGGGTATAGTATTATATTCATCCCGCACCTATATTCACACTCACATACACATCCTACACGCATTCCCATACCTATCCGCACTCATGTATCTTGAATTATATCTAGAGAAAATAAGCACTCACTAGATGAAATACTCGTAGTTGTAACATTGCTAGCTGGCAGTTGAAAAAAGTAAAATGAGCTTTCCGAATAACTTATTAGTGAGAATGATCTCGCGTTAGAAGATTTCGAGAACATTTCACATGTCTTATTATTCTGGAAACAGTTCAAGAATGAAAACGCTGTTGTATTTAGCATCATTGCACACAAGCATTCATTGCAAGTACCATTAATTGATTTTGAATTCGGATCGAACATCAACAAAGAAATATTTTGAATCACACCAATGGAAACGAGGCTAGTGGAAATAATTTCGAAATGTTGAAAAAGTAAAATGTAAAGGAATAATTTCCACATTTTATTGTGACAGTGAGTGAAAAATGAGTAGAAGTACAATACATCAATCGATTATTAAAAAGTCTCAGTTTGTTTAGAAATCAGTTTGCCGATAAAAAGCAAACTGATCCGGTCGTTTATTTTCTTAAAAGAAAAGGCGGTGTTCAAATATTTTATATAAGTCGAGAATCGATCGATCAATCGATCGACCGACAATGTGTATGAATAAATTAGTAAGAAAAGAAAATCAACTTACTATGTTGTTTGTTTTCTTGTCGTTGATTGGACGTTAGTTAAACAAGTTTTGTATATAGAAAAAGAACATTCATTCTATCATCCGAAAAAAATTGAAGATTTTTCTCTCGTGGCAGTGTGAACAAAGAATAACACGGACAGTTTTATCAACCTTTACCATTTGCACAAGAAAAACTAAAAAGAATTCACCCAAAAATGTCCCTTCTGACGCGAACAGAAAAAATTGCTTGTTTGTTTTCAATTGCATTTCTCATGTATTTAAATGTAGCGACTCTGTAGAAGGTGTGTGGGATGAAGAAAGAACACTAATACCCACACCCATTCTCAAGATCGATTCTAATCCTCGTATTCAAGATTTTATTTAACCGAAAGATAAAATTAACATCGGCGGTTTCTGTTTTGTTTATTATGTTTAGTGATAAGAAATTTTATATTACTCACATTTGCTTTTTCCTACTACGAGATTAAGTTTTGCAACTACATGAGTCACATATGAATTTCATGTTTTTTTATGGTTATGGTGAATAAGATAAGAAGTATATAAGCTGAAAAGAAAAAGAAAGGGTATATATTCAGGATCAATATCAATGATGTTTCCAGTGCCTACGTCATATGCTAGTGAATCGTTTTGTTCAAACGATATTCTTTCATGGAAATTTCCTAAAACTCTTGGTTGTTACACATTAATTGGCCGTTCAAGGGCTGACGATGCAACTAGTTTATTCATTCCAGAACTCGATATATTATTGGACTGTGGTTGTTCAGTTACAGTTACTCGTCCTCTTCACATTTTTATTACACATACTCACTTGGATCATTGTCTTGATATTACTAGATTATGGGGTAAAAACGGAATACCGAAAGTTTATCTTCCTATATCCGCAGTTCAGCCTATGCAAGACTATATTCGAAAATGTCAAGTTCTTACGATGTTTAAAGAAACTGATCCAGATCCAGCCAATTGGGTACCTAGCTTTGAGTTGATAGGTGTCAAACCTGACGATTTATTAGACTTTCGAGAAACAATGAAAATTCGTGTATTTGAAATGGATTATTCAGTGCCTTGCTGTGGTTATGGATTTTATGAACGTCGAAAAAAATTGAAACAAGAATACAGACATTTATCCAATAAAGATATTGGAAAGATGAAAAGAGAAAATAAAAATCTCGAACTTAATGAAGAACGACTAGTTCCATTATTTGCTTTTATGGGCGATACAACAGTATCGATATTCAACAGATATGAAAATGAACTTTTTCAGTTTCCATTAATTATTGTCGAATGTTCCTATATTAATAGTGAACTTCATCAAGAGGCAGCTGCAGAAGGCAAACATATAATTTGGGTAAGTCACAACTACATTTTTTTCATTTAATGCATTATGATATTTTAGGATGATCTTCAACCTTTCGTCATCAGATATCCAAACGTTATTTTCGTCCTAATTCATTTTTCACATCAATACAAAAGAACAGAAATACGAGATTTTTTTCAAAAATTAAATCTACCTAATGTTATACCATTTATTTAACACGTTCAATCTGACGATAATCAATAATGAGTCTCAATATATCTTTGTGTTAATAAATTAAATAGAAAAACACTTTCTCAAGAATAGTGGTTATCTATTATTACTTTCACAAGAGGAATGAAAAAAAATAACAGTCACTCACAAGTTATTCATGTAGGTTATTCATTATAATGTGATGCAACAGAACGAAAGAAAAATAATAAGATTACATTTTCGAACTATTTTAACAACGTAATAAATATTCAGTAGCTATTACTTGAAATGAATAATCTTTCCAATCTAAATCCTTTCATTAAAATAGAACATGTATTGAATTTCAATAATTCACTTCTGTCTGATATTCGTTGAGGATTACGTTAGAAGTTTTTGTTTATTTGCTTATATTATAATAAAGGTTTAATTAAGACCGAATAAAATTTTGAAAATCTCCAAGCGACAGTGACTCGCTGCAAGTCATTTTTTATAATTCATCCACATGTGACACATTTCGAGTTATATGCTATAAATGAATACCCAATATAGGGAATGTACATTGGTGACATAAATAAAAAGTGACTAGTGAGTGCCCAGATTCATAAATTCGATGGGATCTTGAGGGTAGATGTGGGTGTAACGTAGTCTTATATTAGTTGCTCAATCAAAGGAAATTCAAATGAACAAATCCTAATATTGTTTTGACTGATATTGATCTTATTTGATGAAAATTATGTAATCATTAGAATAAAAAGTTGCATAATTAAACAAGATTATTTTGAGGATGTGGGTGTGGTGTGAATATTTAGTTTATTACACCCCCACACCTTCGATGATATTTGCGGCAAACTTATCTATAATTCATTAATTAAACTATGATCATTTTATTTGCTTTGAGTAAATATTTTCATCTTAAATTTATTTTTAGATATCAATCATCTCTTCTCCAAAAATGTGCAATGAAACTATGAACTCTAAATGAAAACTCTATTTTTCTTCTACAAAACTACATAGTTCGATTAATTACTTGATTCTCATTCAAATTATCAGTTAAATGTGGTTTATATTTTAATGAAGAGGTTGATTATTTATTTTAGTTATGAAAATAAAACGTACACAAAAACAAAACGTCAGATATATGATTCAATGTTTTACATATATAGTTATAAAGTGAAGAAATAATTTCCAATCGACTTAAATTTTTGAAAGTTTAACCACTTGGCCGTTATTTGTACTAAGTAGGTACAAATTCAGATCAGAATCAAAAGCAAGAGCGACTGGTTTTTTAAGTGAAGGTACAGAATTATTATCTTCAGCAACAACAATACCAACTGTTGAATTAGCACAATACACAACTACTCGATCATTATCTCTATCAGCAACATATAAATTACCATACGGATCTAAAACCATGCCCATTTGATTGTTAAGAGTATTGTGACTATCATTGACTGTTTGAAGAGTCATACTTGGAGTTGATACACCAAATGTCCATAAATATAATGCATGAGCACCTTGATCACTAATATATATTTGATTTGATGAATTCGGTGCGAGTAAAATATCATAATCATTATTCAGAGTACTACTACTGATCAGAAGAGTACCGCTTGTTGCATTTGGAGCCCATTCTACTAATCTTGTATTCCCCATATCAAGAATATAAAGATTTGAATTATTGTCAATATCAATGGCTGTTGGTTGCTTTAGATCAGTCAATGCATTTGTACTAGCAGTCGTTCCAGCAACAGTGGTGCCAGTAGTAGAGCCTGAAGCAAATCTTTGTACGCGGTTATTGCCATAATCAACGACATACATAAATCCATTGTTGTCAAAAGTAAGATCTATGGGAGTTTTGAGTAATATGGATGTTGAACCTTGAGTACCTGCACTATCTCCAGCTACTGTCACACCTGTTATGGCACCTTGAATCCATTTCTGAATGCGGTTATTATCATGATCACAAATATATAGAGTATTATTATTGTCGATGTATAAACAACTTGGATTTTTAAGTTGATTCGCACCTGAACCTGTTGTTGTTGTTCCAGCAACGATTTGACCTGTTTGATTCCACCGTAGACTGTTACCTTAAATAATATATCAAAATTTATATGTACCTCATCATTTTTATATAAAATAACTAACAAGAACTAAATGTTGCTGCAGTTGTCGATGCTAAATAAAAACAAATGAAAATTATTAATGAATAAAATTTTAAAATTAATAAATCTGTGTGATAAGGTGTGAATGTGGCTGATATATCAATCTCGCATCTCATTTACACTTACTTCCAGTATATGTTTGATTATTTAATATGAGATAAAGAGGCTATGTTTACTTACTCGTTGTTGATGTACTCGTGCTTGAACTTGTTGAAGTTGTTGCTTAAATAAAATAAAATCATAGAAAAAGCTATTTTTTTTAGAAATATATTAATTTACAGGTTGATGTCGTTGTGGATGTACTTGTAGTTGAACCTTAAAATACAAGGAAAATTCTGAATGATGAAATATAAATATATATATGAAATGATTACTTGAGGTACTCGTTGTTGCTGTTGTTTCTTTATATTTCGAAATAATAAATTTTTTATAATTTTTTTTAATTCTTTTCTCTTACTTGTAGTTGTAGTCGTGTTTGTAGTAGTCATCTTTGGTTGTACCACTAATAAATAATAGAAAATTATTAGTAATTTAAGAATAGTTGTAAAAAAATGGAAGAATATCATTGGCATCATTATTAATAATAGACTGATATTGAAATATTATTAATTACTCTGAATGTATTATCATTATTTGAACGTCTATTACAAATGTTATTTAGTTTTTCGTTCTATATGAATATTCTATGTAAGTTTGGAATCTAGTATTTGCTATTTTGTGGAGCTCAGTACTTACAGTATATAATATAAAGGGTTCATCATCATACTGAACATTCAGAGTGAACAGAAATAAAAAATACTATGAGTAGTTTACTTTTAGTTATTAAGAGACATCGTTTATGGTACCTAGAGTGTATCGAAGTACTTATACAGATAATAAATTCTCGTTAAATAAATAACTTTCGAAAAAGTAAGTCTTGATAGTCCCTAATTATACTTACTACTAGTAGCAATAATTGCCGCAATTATTGCAAGTAGGATCCCACCAATTACAGCAGCCATTATAGCACAGCAACAACATCGTGTGATTTTGAATTGTGCATTTCTTTTTTATTGCATTTGATTTAGATCAAAATTAGAAAAAAATATTGTGTGAATAAATTATTTACCTTTTTCTCTTTTTATTATTTTCATTTTCTGTCTTGTGAAAGCGGTCGCTAAACGGATTAAAACTACTATAAGATTTACCAACATTGTTCTTGTTAAACGAAATTTGATCTTTGCTTGTATTTAATCCCAACAAACCATGTTCTGATGTGAAGGATATATCTCCTGGCTGAAAAACAAAAATACTTTGAAATAATAGATTAATATATAGGAGTGAGAGTGTGTTTGAAGATATTGATAAAACCGACACCCATCCACCCTAAACTGATAATCAACTTACCTGTTGCATATGAACAAATGCATCATGAGTCTTGTTTTGGTCACCCATAGATAGACTCCTATTTTTATGACCATTTGCCAACCCACTTATATTTTTCTGATTATTCGATAATGAATTTATGTCTTGTGCATGAACTAACACATATTTTCTATGATTTAAATTTTTAGATAATAAAGTTGTTTTACTCTTATTGCTTGATAGTCGAGGCAGTTTTTGCACATGAACTGTTGGGTGTCTTATATGATTTCGATCGATAGATGGTCGACTTGTTCTTTTTACCTTTACAGATGAACTCCTAGTTGTCTTCGTTGGTATAGATAATCGCTTCTCCTATTATAAAATTAGACTATTAGTAGGCAACTTTCTAGATACCACTAATGATATACCTGTAATATTTTTCCATTAGTTTTAGTTGCTACGATTATGTTTGATAATGATTCCATTTGAAAATCTTTAGATATATTCGATATCTAAAAAGCATTTTATTTATGTTTAAATCGTGACAAAATTCGATAATATGTAGACAAAAAATGGTTTTTAAATAAATATATCTATAGGAAAGTTGAGTAATCGCATCTATCTTTGAAATGGCTTGCACTTGGTTGATGGATCTTTCGACATATATTCCTCTAAAGTTTCCATCTATTTTTAGTTGACAGAGTCTTAGTATTTTAGTTCTATAGCGCTCGGTCAGTTATGTTAGAATTCGTAGCATATGAAAGTGTGAGTGTTAAGTAAAGTCATTACTTAAACTTTTTCCAGAAATGATACCATTTTCATAATATTGGATTTTTAGGTTTGATTCTTACCTTTCAAGAAATTGATTGTTGGTATCGATATATAAAAGATGAAAAAATATTTTAGTATGTTGTCTGCCGTGATTCTTTATACGATAGTTTGCTTGTATGATGAATTTCTTCTCACAACTCCTGACATATATATTAATTTTTTTCCTCCATCAAAATAGTACAATCTAACAGAAGCCGTTTGTCACGTATTCAACAATAAAGCTTTGATTTCGATTGAATTCATATTCTTTACATTTGATTATTGAAATATATAATTAAAGAGAAGACTTTCGAATTTTGTTTCAAATTTCAATAAGAAATTTAATCACAATATAAATTAATAATATATTGTAAATGAATACATACAAGAGTGCTACTGCGACCAAAAATATCCTGATAGATAGTAGAAAAAAAGGTTGTGGGTATGGTAGAGTTTGAGTGGGCACTATATATATGATACACCCACACTCTCAAGAATAGATACTCGAGTGTTTCTCTACTATAAAGGCATAAGCAAATATTCTAAAATGTATTTCATTTCAGACTGTTTTATATATTGACTTTCTATAGTGAACGAAAATATCATCGATTTATTATTAGATCGTTACCACTAAATGATTGATATTTTAATGAAGAAGTTATTTATTTATTTTAGTTATGAAAATAAAACGCACACAATAAAAATGTCAGATATATGATTCAATGTTTTATATATATAGTTATAAAAAGAGGAAATAATTTCTAATAGGGGTAGGACAGTTCAGTTCTATTCAAAGAACTGTTAATACAGTTCCTAAGAACGGAACTAATATGCAACTGTCCTACCCCTAATTTCTAATCGACTTAAATTCTTGAAAGTTTAACCACTTGGCCGTTATTTCCAGTGACTACGTACAAATTCAGATCCGAATCAAAGGCAAGAGCCACTGGTTTTTGGAGTGAAGGCACAGAGTTATTATCTTCAGCAACAACTATACCAACTGTTGAATTAGCACAATACATAACTACTCGATTATTATTTCTATCAGCAACATACAAGTTACCATACGAATCCAAAACCATGCCCTCTGGATTGTTAAGATTATTTTGGCTATCATTGACTGTTTGAAGAGTCATACCTGGAGCCGACGCACCAAATGTCCATAAATATATTACACGATTCAATTGAGTACTGATATATATTTGATTTGATGAATCTGATACGAGTAAAATATCATAACCATTATTCAGAGTATGATCACTGATCAGTAGAGTACCAATTGTTGCATTTGGACCCCATTCTACTAATCGTTTATTATTCATATCAAGAATATAAAGATTTGAATTATTGTCAATATCAATAGCTGATGGTCGATTGAGGCCAGTCAATGCACTTGAATAACTAGTTGTTCCAGCAACAGTTGTGCCACTAGTAGAGCCTGGAGCAAATCTTTGCACACGATTATTATTAGAATCAGCGACATACATAAATCCATTGTTGTCAAAAGTAAGATCCATGGGATTATTGAGCAATGTAGATGTTGAGCCTTGATTACCTGTACTATCTCCAGCCACTGTCACACCTGTTATAGCACCTTGAATCCATTTCTGAATACGATTGTTATTTTGATCACAAATATATAGAGTATTATTATTGTCGATGTACAAACAACTTGGATTGTTTAGTTGATTCGCACTTGAACCTTGTATTGTTGTTCCAGCAACGATTTGCCCTGTTTGATTCCAACGTAGATTGTTACCTTAAATAATATATTAAAACTTATATATGTCTTATCATTTTTATATAAATGAACTAACAAGAACTAAATGCTGTTGTAGTTGTTGTTGCTAAATAAAAACAAATAAAAATTGTTAATAAATCTTCGTGGATTTTAAGTGTGTGGATGTGTATGTGGCTGACATATGAATCCCGCGTTCTTATCCATGCCTTCAAGATGAAATATTTTATTCTCTATTATAATTAAAAAAACTGCTATTGTATAGCACTATTAAAAATTTATCGTGACTAGTCGTAATCAGATTCTGCAGGAATAACAACAACAATGCTACTCCTTTCATTTATGATTATAAATATAAATAAAATATTCATAGAAAATATAATGAATATCAGTATCTGTAGATTTTTATTTCAGCATATGTTTGACTTACATGTTGTTGATGTCGTGCTAGTTGAACTGCTTGTTGTAAAAGTGCTTGTTGATGTTGATGTCGATGTACTCGTGCTTGAACTACTTGTAGAACTGCTTGTTGATCTACTTGTACTAGTTGTAGAGGTGCTTGTTGATGTACTTCTGCTTGAACTAGTTGAGCTTGTTGCTTAAATATAAGAAAATTATACGAACAGCTAAAGAATGAGTCGCAGTACCACTATTTTGACTTTCACAGGATTCCTTTCGGACTTCATTCGTATATTAATCAAAGTATCCTCATGAGCCTTTACACTGGGTCAAAACATTGAAATCTGATTTTTGAATTTTTTGTGCTTGAATACCTTCCAGAGGTTGAAAAAAAATTTCTGCCTTTAATTTTGATCTTTAATATTATATTTTTACCAGATTTGACTAGGCAATCAAAAAGTTGCCTAGGTCCTTCCCTATTCGATCCTATAGGATTTCACCTAAAAAATAATGTTGTTTTTGATTTATATGCCTCTGGAAAGTTCTCTATTAAATGATTCGATAACTTCAGTATTACTCAATTATTTGTTCGCTATCTAGTTCTGGAAGAATATCGAAGAATACTACTTGTATTCTTTCGATAATATAGCCCCTTGTCACGTACAGTTTTGTACTACTTACAAAAGTTCATATAGCATAGTTTCATAAAAGAGTCTCGATCCACTTCGACACTTCTACTGTATGTACAGTTTTATTTCCTCTTTGTTATGAATATATTTTCATGAGAGAAAAAAGTGAACCACCTATCGGAATATCTCTCATAATGCTCATCGATAGGTAAAAAATATGAAGATTATCTCAAAATATCATATTGTATTCTTTTCACGCAAAATATTATTTATAAATATTCGAAAAAGTTCTAAATAGTCTGCTAGAAAATTTCACAAAATGTAGATCTAATGAATCAGACTGTCCTAGTCAATGTGATTTGATAGAGTCCCGAAGGTGAGTGTGGATGTGAATACAATATCCATCTAGCATCCTCACCCACACTCTCCAATATATGGGAATTAACTAGAATAAATAGTTGATTGTTGTCTATAGAAGTGTTAGATAAATTATTATCATACCTGTTGATAATGAAGATAATGTTGTTGCAGATGGCGTATTCCATGCAGTGACAAATGAGGCTGATACAGATGAGCTACTTGATGAATTAGGGGATGATGTTGTTACAACTAAAAATATGAATTTCACATCTGTAAAAATCTAAAACAAAATTCCTAGACGTATGCTGTATGTTGAGGACGTGAATATGAGTATTCTAATTATCATTCAATCACTCCTATACTTGGATTTAGACCAATATCAGGTCCTACTCTAACCATTCTTTTTTATTAAAATTCTCTCCACAAATTCGAAGTTTTTGGATAGAACTAACTGTATTTATATATAAAAACCAAATCAACATTTTTTAATGTCATCTTAGGTTATTATTCAACCAAAAATAGTACTCAATTATCTTTTTATTCCATTTGATGAACAAAAAGACAAAATAATCAACATGAAAACAATAATTCTTATTAGTACATACTTAATGTTCCTGTTGCTGTTGTTTTTGATGTCAACCAGAATGTGAGTATAATAGCTAAACCTATTCCACCAACTAATGATCCAACAGTACAGTATTTAAAAAACGAAGTCCATGCAAAGGATGTCTTATTTTGTTGAATTCTGTCATTAACATATAAGATATATAAACATCTTAAAATCGATATTGTACCTACTGATTATTATCATCATCTTCTGTCCAGACAATGCGTTCGACCGATGAATGACTTCCATGTGTGGTTGATTCTGGATCCGATGACCAGTCGGAGTATCGTGGATTCGCCATTATATGTAATGTTAGTGGATTGGTAGCTGATTTTGATCTAAATTGAAAAAAGTACGTATATATATATATGTTTTATATAATAAAAAATAATCAATAATGAGCCCATTTCCACGGCTTCACACATATAATGTAAATGTCATATTTTAAGTAAACAACATACTTCTTCATTCTAATCAAAACATTGGCCTCGAGAATAGAAAAAAAGTGCAACAGAATGCGTGTTCGATTGAAAAATTCATTTTTTATTAGAGATGGATGAGTTGGGTGTCACAATTGGAAGGCAAGTATAGACGAGGTTCTTTTGCTCTATCAACTGAATTCACAAGTCGATAACTGACCTAAGTTCGGAGTTTCTAACTTTGTTTGGTATACGTTCTTGAAATATTAAAAAACGAAATATTGATAGTCATGCATAAATCGATTTTGACTTTGATATCCCTGTACAAATATTAATTTTGAAAAGTAAAAATATTCTGACAAAATTGGATGTTATTGAATACCGATTCGATTTATTTCTAAATTTTTTGTAAATTAATTCTTTGGCTATATGTGAACAATTGATTGTATTCTTTTACTGAGCATGTTAAATCTACAATATACAACTAAAAAAAATTGACGTGTATATTTTCATGTTTGCATCTCATTGTTTTATTACTTTTCACAGTATTTTCTACAGTAATATTTACAATAAAAATGTTTTTATTTGATTATTGCTGTTCATGAATTAAAAAAATCGTATGTATAAGATTTATAATCAATTATTCTATTCTCTTATCGAATGAAAAAATGTGTTGAATTGTGAGATTCGAATTTTTTGATTAAGATGATAATAAATCTATAACAAAATCATTAGTTATCAAGCAAGATGTATTAGATTGGTTTCGATTTCGATTATATTTTGACTATTTGAATTTTCTTGCAAATAATTATTTTACATATTCAATAAAAAAATTCATATTGACGAGAAAAAAAAGGACTGTTTGTCTTTGATCTTTTCTTTTCTATGTTTGAAACAATATTTGCATATATAATAATAAGTTTTCATTTTATTTTATCCTATGTGATGTGAGAAAATTTATTGATAAAAATAATGGAGAAATTTCTCTCATTAATGAATAATTATTTCATTATGAATTTAATAATACCTGAACATCTTGAGGGTGTGGTGTGGGTGTGGGTGTGGATGAGAATGAGTTAGATGGGTGGGTGGGTGTGGATCAGGATAAAGTGAATACCCACACTCTCAAGTTGAATTAGACATATAATCGATCAGTTCGATATGTATAAAGCCAAATATAATGTTACAGTCGTTCTACTATAATAAGAATTCTCAAGTACACCTCACTATACTTTCACTAATGAACATGATAAAGTAGAAAATGCAGGCAGCAGTTTTTTGAAACAATACTATTTGATTATTTGAAGAAAAATACTTCAATCAACATGTTTTATCCAAGAAAATCAGTTAGACTGTTTATTGATGTACTTCATTTATATAACAGAAACCGTAAAGATAGAGCAATGTGGTTTATTATTATAAAGCATAAAACTGAACTTATCGAAGTTCTAGTTCTCTTTATAGTTGAAATGGTATGTTGTGCAAAGTTTGGTTGCACTGGCTCTTACAAGAACCATATGTGTAAAGAACAAGCAAATACATTTTCTTCTTTGTTATTACAAAACCATTTTGTAACTGAATTGATCAAGTGAGAAGAAAAATATTTTCCTTATCTGCTAAGTAATTTTATTTTGAAAAAAACTAGCTATTCATATCCATTCTATCAGGGTACACATGGAAGTGAGAGATAGATGAACAAAATAAAGAAGATGATGTAATACATCTTCTTTCTAACTATGTAAGAAGTAAATAAAAATGGAGAACAAAATAAGAATAAGAAAGAAGATGAGAATTTCAATATATTCTCATGGATGACAGGAAGGAGAGAGAAAAAAATAATACGAATGTTGTTAGAGTGTTCTCTAACATGTGTACATTAGATATTAAATGTGTTCATAGAAAAAGATCAAAAATGTTAATGTTAACAACAGCAAACTTTGGCGCATGATCTTTTAACGGTGACGGTTTTCTTTCTGATGACTTTGCAACATGGTTTGCAGCAACATACAGTTTTACGTACACAACAGCATGGACCACAGCAGCAATCGCAGCATGGATCACAACAACAACAATCACAGCAAGGATCACAGCAAGAGCAACAACAAGGATCACAGCATGAACTACAACATGATTTACAGCACGAGCCACAACCACAGCCGCAACCACATCCACAACCACAACCACAACCGCAACCGCAACCACAACCACAGCCTGGCATATTAATAGTAATAATGTAGTGAAGAATAAAACTAGAGTACGATGAGAACTGGTTTATGAAACTATGAGAAAAGGTGTATCTATATATACAGAGGTAGAGTAACGAACAATATTGTTTTCAGTCAACAAAACAATTCACTACTGTTCTCACATGACAATAACTTAGATACAAATGTGATAGGGAAATATATAGGGAAACATAAGTAACAGTTTGTTACTATTCATGCAATACAAACAAAAATATGAAATTCACACTTATTACCAACTTTTTTCCTTTTAATTTGTTTTGATAGTGTCGAAAACATCTAAATTTAATTGCACTTTGATTTTGTGACCACAACTGTAAAAGGGTAAAAGTCATTTGATACACTTTTTTTTGATGAAAATAGTGCTAATCAAAAAAAACAAACTAAATATTTTTAGTGAAAAATATTGATTCTTACGTTCTAGTACACACGCACACACTGCAATATCATCAAATTACATGAACATCATAACACAACGCAACATCAGAGAGAACAGTAAGAAAAATATAAAATATATGGATACAATAACAATAAGAACACTCCTACTTTCACGTATCAGTTGCCAATGAATGAATGTTTCGATGATGCAAAGATGCGTAAAAGTGAATTCAATGAACATATTGAGGAAGTTAGAAATGATTTTTTCATATGAAAACATCCATTCAGCAACACTCTGGTTCGAAAATGATGCCCATAATTATATATTTGTTTGTCTTCGCATGATTTATTTTTCACTATATTTATTCATAGTGGATGTGAGTGTGGTATGGAGACTCTATTCACCTAGCATCCACATTCACACACACACACCATCAAGAGATAAATAGTATTTATTTACAATAAATAAACAAATACGCTAAGTGAGTAATAATTGAGAGTAAATAATGTATTCGTTCAGAAATTCAACGCTGATCTGGCTACTATATAATAGTCGTTCCTAAAAACAGTATGAAATTCTTTGACCATGTTTCGTATTCGATGATCAATTTTTTCATATTTTGTGCGTTCGTCTTTGCCTTTGACTGATTTTATAAGAGACATATTTATAGCTTAGAAATTATTAAAATAATACGCACATATATATGTATACTTTCTCTTTATACTTTTATCTGATTTAATTTGTTTAGTTTTAATTTCATTTTGATACAAAAAGCAAGTTTGATATTAAAATTAGATCATCTTTTGGTTCTCATTAATATCTGTTATGCATTTTCTTAATAAACCAATCTCACTAACAGAGCGAAAAGAAATTTTTTTGCACGCAAGTGCCGCGCGCGCTACTGACGTGTCACGTAAATATTCTATTATAATTTTTTTCTCTATCATTTATTTTTCTTTTGTTTCTTGTAAGGTAAAGTTACTACAATATTTCTGTATTTTTTAAAGCATGCACGACAAATGTTTCCTCATTTGACAAATCCAGCAAATTGGTAAATAGTGTATAAATAAAAAAACCACCGTGACGGTGCGATGAGAGTAGGGATGTTCTTTTAATACCGCATCCACACCCTCCAGAGCGAATTGCAACGGATGAGGGTGAGTTTCAATTCTTGCATAAAACAAGTGACACAAATGTTTCATTTTTTCTGCTTTTCTCCATGCGCATATACATGTGTTGACATTGTAAAAATTATTTCAAGAGTCTTTGCATCTACAGTAACAGAACTTCTTTCGCAAGCTGTAGTTAACAACATTTACACTTTCTTTTCTTTTAACAGGGTTAAAATGAATTTGGAATGTTTAGCCAATGAAATATTCCTTGATCTTTTTGAATATTTCAAAATTGAAGATCTGTTTCATACATTTTACAATGTTAATTATCGATTTAATATTCTTCTTCTCAAATATTTTCACTCATATCATCTTGATTTTCAATCAATATCCAAATCTAATTCGCATGTTACATGTACAAAATATCTTCCATTAATTCGAAATCAAATTATTTCATTACGTTTTTCTGATGATGATAATACACCAGTACAATCAAAATATATTCCAATTTATTTTCCATCGTTTCTTCAACTTTCTCATTTACGTGCACTTTCATTCTATTGTATTAATTCTTCAAATCTCATGGAAAGATTAATAATTGAATGGCATCAATTACCATATCTTACGAATTTAAGTATCATTAATTGTAATTTTACAACAAAAATTGATTTTCATACTGTTATTAATAGTATTTGGAGTCTTAATCATTTAGTATACTGTTATTTAAATGGTATATATGGCACATGGACAAATTTTATTGCCCCGGATGTCACATCAGTATCAATGCAATATTTATTATTTGAAAGTGGTTGTATGGATTGGAATGTATTACCAAAATTACTGAAAAATACACCTTATCTTCGATCTTTAAACACAGATATTATAGATTATTCTGAGCCTGGAAAAGAACTTTCAGTTAATACCACTTTCACGTTAACTCGATTGAACGTGTACATGCGAGTTACGACAAGTACGTTATTTTTTTGGAAATATTTACCAAATTTATCTCATCTAACAGTTCATATGGAACGATTTTATCTTGATGGAAAACAGTGGGAATATATTATTCGAACTTATTTACCTAAATTAAAAATATTTCGTCTATATATGGACTTAGCAGCGGATGACTGTAACCAGATAGAAGAATATGTCGATAGATTATTGAATTCATTTCGAAGTTCATTTTGGCTTGAGGAACATCAATGGTATGTTCGATCTCATTGGGAGAAAATGCCAGAATCGAAAGGATGGCCAGGAATAGTATTAACTACTTTACCTAGTCGGATAAATCGTTCAGGCATTCTCAGTTCAAGTTGTTATAGATCAACTTGTCCTGATGATAATGTCTATAATTCATATGATCATGTAGAGGTTCTGTCGTATTCACGAATTTTTTCATTTACATTCATTTTTATTTCCAAATCTTCAGCATTTAGATCTTAAAGATCCTGCTAACGATGAACTCTGGTCACATGTTTTCAATTTGCAAAAACTACGAATACTTACGTTTTATGCAGATAAACAATATGATCATCCTGAAAATGAATTGCAATTACTGCTTGATCGTATGCCGAATCTTCATACATTAGAATTATGTCTTGATGAGAATGAGAATGAATATAAACCGTTTTTCAACTTAAAACATAATTCTATTCGGTGTTTAGATTTTGCACACTATACATTTAATCGTGAAGAATGTGAAATATTGATTCATAGTCAATTAGGTCAAAAATGTGAAGTTCTTATGTTATCAATTAAACATCTCGATGATATACTTCAGTTAATTAATCAATTAAGAAATCTTCGATCATTAAAAATACGTTTATTGCAAAATGAAGATAGTCTATTGACTTCTTCTGAGAATGAACTGAACGAATGGTTAACACTTCATTTACCATCAATATGTGATTTCAGAATCCATAATGGTATCATGAATTTTTCATATACTTTTTATGTTTGGATTCGATGACTTAAAAAGCATAACTCTTTATTTTATTTATATACTGCGATTATAACTGAAAATAAAATAAATAACAAATAAAGACGTCATAAGGGTGTGGGGTGAGGGTAAGGATGAGTTTTGATTCTCGCTCAAAACAAGTGACGCAAATGTTTCATTTTTACTGCTTTTCTGCATGCATACACATGTGTTGCCATTGCAAATATTATTTCAAGAGTGATTGCAGACTGCAGTTAACAACATTTAGAGTTTCTTTTCTTCCAACAGGGTGGGTATAATAGAAAGAATCAATTCATTGGCGAAGTGAATTAAACAAAACAAATGTTGAATAGAAATCCATCATGTATTGAAGATCTAGCGAATGAACTTTGGCTTGAAATTTTTGATTATCTTGATTGGATTAATCTTTATTCAGCATTTTATGATATCAACAAACGAATTAATCAATTACTTGAATACACTTTACTTATGTTTTACAGTAAAATTTTATTTTCGAACGATTTCTTTTTTTTTAAATATTTTCTTTTAAAGGGTGTGGGTGTAAGTGTAAAAAGTATCATTCATCACACACTCAAACCCACGCAGATCCGCACTCACCAGCCTCCACCCTGATCCTCCCACCCACACCCTTTTTGCTTGTCATCTGAAATAAATTTGTCGCTTGATTTCCGAATTGTTTCGTTCATTTTGTATTCTGATTTGATACTATTGGTTCTTGCTTCTGCACTTGATAACATTTGCCCGATAATATCTTCTTGAGTATGAAAATGATAATCGTCTCGATTGGTTATTGGCGCTATACAAAAATTAGAAAAAAACGTTTTCGGACTAATCATGGGAAGTATAGGATTGGTATTTAATTTATAGTTGGATATTATTAATACTAGTAATAGATGGAAATACTCTATTTAACCCTTTGAATTCGGACGACGGGATTTCGTGTCCTGATATTTTGGGACTTGAATAATTCTAAAAGGCATGGTTTTGCTGATTATCTAACAATAAATATTGCATAAATGTTTGCATTTATGCTATTTGTACATTCAAATATGTTTATATATAGTGGAGATTGTTGGTTGCTCCTCAATGTATCTGACAATAGTCTATAATTAACTAGTTAGAATATAAACCAGTCTGATCGCACTTCTTACACAGAACTGTCAGTTGCATAAAGATGTTTCGTCTTATAAGAACTCCTCAAAAATGCCATTTATCGAACAGAGCCTGATCAGTTGATCCTATTTGGCAAATATAATAGAGTGCATTTTCGGCATAAAATGTCACTGCGGACAAAATACAACTGGTTATTAGGTTTGCGCTAATACTGTGATGTGACTTAAGGCTAGGAAAAATACTTTGTATGAATGTATTGAATGTGATGTAGGATTGTATCTTATGGATTGCCTTAAGAACTATAATACTTGAAAACTATTTTGAATTATACATCTCGTGATATCTTTTGCAGAGTAAACGTTGATTTGAAATTAGAAAAACGTTTACCGTATAAAAATAATCCCGGACTCAAAGGGTTGTCTAAGTGCATGGATAATGATATGAACATAAAAGTGGTAGCCGTATAAAAAGGCACCATTTTAAACTTTTTCTAACATTTTGATTTCTCTTTTTTTTGTATTGAAGAATAATCTTACGTTCGCGTTTTACTTGTCTGCATTTTGTAGCATCATAGTTATTACATTGTTTCATTTCATTGATATTGACATAGTTGTCACTGTCAATCATCACAATACCATTGCAAAAATCAACGGCCTGATCACTCCAGCTATAATCAAGTTTTCCTTTAATCATTGGTAAGAATAGTCCCATTCGTAGTGGACCACAGTTCTCGTCATATATCCGAGATTTCTTCATTAAAGACAACGCACGTTCAAGCCACTCATTGACTTCTTTTGAATAGGATTGCCACCCTGATGGAACATTGCGATCGAAAATAGGCAGATACCCTCCAGTATGACGATCGACTTTTAAAACCATTTCTGATTCATTGAACACCCAGTACCATTGCGGCTCGGTCGGAACATCGGTTGATGTTGAATTATCGGCGGCCATGTTGTAGAGAAAAAATCAAAAACCTAGGTTGTCAACTACAGTGCAACTTTTTAATACTTATTAAAATAAAAAATATAAAGTGCACGCTTTCAATCGATTAATATTTTTTTCTTTTTCTTCGTTCTCTCGCGTCGAGAAGAAAGAAATATTGTTTACCAAAGAGACTGCTGAGATTTTTACTCACAGAGAAAAAATTGCTTCAAAGCGATGTGAATAGTTTCAGTGTGGGTGTGGGTGAACGACTACAAAAGAACTTTCATTCATATCTACACGCACATCCACACTCCTCAAGTTCAAAATATCATATAATAAGCTACAACACTTTTCGTGTCTGATATTCAACCATTAAAAATGAATTGTTTTTGGTTGTCACCAAGTCATGTCGTTGACTTTCAACTGAAAAATGATTCAACGTTTTAATATTGTTAAGGCAATTGTTTTTGTATAATTTTTCCATTTCATTGTGCGTAAGCAAAACCTGTGCAAGCAATTAGTTCGTCTGCAACTATAATGCATTAATTCACCAGGCACAACTTTGTTGAATTACTCATTTCAAAAGAATGAATTCATGACTTTCGATTTACGGTTGAGAGTCTGGTAGAAAAAGTGCATTATGCGCATTTGATGACTCATGGGGGAAAATGCTTGATTCCAAGTGGTGGTAGTATATAAACTTTGATCAAAAGATATTTATTCATTCGCTAAACTATTACCTTATTTTTATAATATCTTCCTTTCTTATTCATACCTATCATCTATTTTTTAACAAATGACATTTCAAAAGTGCCGATATGAAGGTAAAATTGTGGACATACCTGTTCGATGTATAAACAGGAACAGATATTTGTTCTTACAAGATGTTCATGATCATTTTGTTGGTATTCGAAGATTTACACTGAAAGACGAACCAATACCATTCGTGAAAAACAACGATAATAGTGTTATTTATCCACAACGAATTCTGGCTTCTACTCAAGATGTTATTGATTGTCATACATCAACGCCTGCAGACGAAGCTACCTTATCAAACACTTTAAATATGATTTTGAAGAACACTGAAATTTTTAACACAAAAAGTGATGCTATTCAACGTCAAATATTTGAACAAGCAGAATACCCAATACCCCATCTTTTCATCGTACTTCCAGAAGAAACATCTTTCAATCCTTCAACGTGGTTTCGTCATACATATCGTTTGCATTTCCTATGTGACTGTGAAAACGAGAATGAACGTCATTTTGCTTTGCATGACGGGTATAAAATAAGCAAACCACATGAATTCTTTCGTAAATATGGACCTTATCTTCGTCACATATTAACAGTAATTAAAGGTATAGCATGCGTCGGCAGCATCGCTCTTCCACAATTGTCATCAATGCATATGGGATTATCTAATTTTACCGCTCTACAAAAAAAGGAATTCTGTAATAGTATTATTGATAAAGCAGAGCGAGCAGGTGAGATTTTAACAAAAGTTGAAGAATGTCTGAATATTTCAACAGAAGCAATAATTCAAGAAGTAGACGGTGCTACACTACGACCAATTCGCAGGTATTTGGAAAAAGTGGATAATCATGATACGTTAGGAAATTTATACCGTTCTATTACTTCTGATGGTCATGTTCGATGGGTGTGTGTTAAACATCGCAATGGACCATGTTCAAATGCTAGTATCCAACAATTACGAAAAGACTTTCAACAATTAGGTGGAAAAATAGGAGACGATGTTGCTTTGGTGAAGGAATTACACAAAGATAAGTTTGAAAAGTTCATCAAATTGTTGGATCAAGGATTAACATTCAGTACAATAAGATTGGAAAACTTAAAATTGAAAAAAGATTTATTTTCAGAATTTGTTCATGTCGTCTCAATGAAAAATAAGATTGATAAACTTGAACTGGAAAACATTTTCTTAACAAATTATGGAAGAGATATACCGAAACGAGACATAATTTCACAGCTTAACAATACAGTAAAAAGCGATGAAAACCTTATCATTGAATATACATTTACAAGACCATTAAAAAAATTTTAATCAAAATTATTTAATGCTACCAAAGAAACAAATTCACGGCTGATATTTAAAATTCGACCAGCAGAAGTAACATCTTCACTGGAATTAACTGGAACAAATGAAGCTGGATTTACTCTATTTATAAAAAGTCATGACGAAACTGATGCAGTTAAATATTCTTCAGCCATTAACAATATGTTTGAAGAATTGAATGTATCAACACTTCATCTACACAATGCAATTCTTTCCGAAAGTCTTTGGAATACTATCCGTCAATTGGTTGTTGATAGTCAAAATCTAGAAGAAATGATTATGAACTGTCCTTCAACATTAAACGAAACTCAAGAATGGCTCTTTTCTCTTTGTAAAAATGAAAGCTTGAAAATATTACATATAATGAATGGACCAAAGCAAGCGGATGTTTGTGTAGAAATTTTTCAAATGTTGAAAGAAAAAAACACTTTGGAAAAATTTTCTCTCACGTCTTCTACTTATCGCCTTCAACTTGATTTTATATCTGCATCATTACAAAACAGGTATTCAACGTTAACTGGAATTGCTAAATGGTGTACCAATAACAATAGTGATGTTCTAATTATTAAGAAGTTTCTTCAAATTATACCAGTTCATCATCTGTCATTAGACTTGTCGGATATCAATTGTGAAACATCACTTACACAATTAGCAGAGACTATTAATCAACTACCGTTATTAAAAACTCTTGAACTTCAAAGCAAAACTAGTTGTGCAGTTTTTCATCGAGAAAAACGGATTTTCAATAGAGAAAGTAGCGTACGTGAATCTGAGTTGCTGCCCTGTGTACAGTGTAGGAAACCTTCTTTACGCAAAAAATTCAAAAAGTATCTATCGTTTCTTAGCTGTATTAGTCCTAAATATTATCATTCATCTCAGGAAGAAAGCAGTAATCCTCCACTACAGATTTCCAATGAAAGAGCAATGCCTGTTGAACCTTTCTCTCACGTTTCCTCAAATCCACTTTATAAACAAATACAAGAAATTGCACTCAATTTTACACTAAAACAATTTCAAATTACTATTAGTCCTGATGTAAACATAAGTCACATTGCTTCAAGTATACAATCAAATTCAACAGTAACTCATCTACGATTTGTTGGACGAATAGAAGAGACTGATATGACGACATTAATTAAAGCTTTTCGTAAGAATACGATAATATCGCATTTATCTTTGAAAGAAATTGAGATTTCACTTCTTAATCTTCGTCAAATCTTCGATATGTCCCATGTTAATCGAAGATTACGAGTATTAGAAATTCATCATTGTACATCTGATTTTGATCAAAAATTATTTCAACAAGAAATTAAACAATCACTCTCTGAAAATCATACTTTAGAAATTTTTGTTTGAAAATTCAAAATTTAAGTTATTTTTCTTGTATTGCTGTGCATGATTTTTTTATCTTTTGTGTTATTTTTATATTTTATTAGAAAAGATTTTTCTGTGTAATAATATTTGATTTTTTTAAAAAGAAAGAACAAAACGATTTATTCTTAAAACAAGTTTATATCATGAATGATCTATACTCTCAGTTCAACCCACATCCACCCTCAACAGAAAAAAATCGATTATTTTCGGGAGAGAAAGGTGATCATATTCTGTTTAATTTTTGACTAGGCAGAATCGAAATTTATGTTTTGTCTACAATGCATAAAGTTTAAGAAAGTGAATGTATAGTGAGGGCTTTGATCAGATTGGTGAACTGAAGTAGAATAAAGACACTATATGATGTTCGCGATTCATATAAAAAAGCAATAGAAAAGCAATGAATTCTCCGAGAATTACTAGATTAGAGGATTTACCTGTGGAAATTTTGATGGAAATATTTATTTATTTTACAGCTGATCAAATTTATTTCACATTTTCTCAATTAAATAATTATTTCAATTTAATTCTCAAATCATTACCGAAATTAAATCTGGTGATACACGAACATTTAGATCCTTCTGTCCTCTCTTTTTTTGATTCATTTAACAAAATTCTCGTCAAATTTTATGGTTCACCCCTTGAGGAATGTGGTTGTCAATCTCATTCGATAAATGGTGGTAATCGTTTGCATGAAATTTACTGGATAATAGATATTGACTGGTATCAAAACCTTGATGGAGAACGATCTCCTTATCCTCCCAGTAAAATCGGAAATATTATTCATCCTGATAATTATTCTCGATTACAATCATTAGTTTTGCCAAATGCTTCATCTAAATTGATACAATTAATATTTCAAGGTGAATTTCCTCGTTTAAAAGTCTGTCATCTTGGTAGATGTGAATCAATTATTTTTCCATGTTCGATGACAATACAATTACAAAATCTTCGTCAATTAACAGTACACGGACAACAAGGTCATGTATTAGAAAAGATATTATTGATGTGTCCTTGTTTAGTATATTTGGATTTTTCATGTAATGATTCCATTCCGCCATTTCATTTCATCAATCGTTGTTTTCCATCGATGAAATATCTTCGACTCGATCGACTTAGAAACTTTTTCTTTCACAACAGACAATTCGTTTTTCTTCTCTCACTCTTTCCAAATCTTTTACAATTTCATTTGATTGTTAATCAATGTCGTCATAATGTTGAAACAATCACTATTCAAGAAATTGCGAATTATTTACATCGTCAATGTCCATTACTGAAAATATTAGTTTTACGTATCTATATGCGAGAACATATGCTTCGTAATTCTTCTATCGGTAGTCTTAAAGAAATTACCAAAATGCATTCTCTTTTCAATTATGTCGAAAGATGGGACCCACATCTAGCTATTAGTTCACATGGTTTCATTCCGCATTCTCTTTGTAAGCATCGATATATGAGCAGTCATCCTATTCCGGAAAGTTACACATTCCGGAATCGCTTGGCTCACCCAACTTAACATAATTCAATTCCGCAATTTCTTGCATTCGATTCCTGCCTATTCTGGAATTCCTTGCATTCGATTCTTACCTATTCCGGAATTCCTGCACATTCCTACCAATTTTGGAATGACTTGATCAATTGATATTTATGTAAGCCTGGACATGATGACAAATACGGAATTCCGGAATTCGTGCATTTTCCGGAATTCCTGCACATTCCTACCAATTCCGGAATGGCTTGATCTATTGATATTTACGTAAAGCTTAACATAGAGACCCTTCGTCGGTATGCAAGCACAATAGTGTGGGTGCGCGGAAGGCTCGGTCCGTGAAGAAGTACGCAATAGGCAGGAATTCCTGCCCATTCCTACCGATTTCGGAAAAGCCGGAATGTGCACGAATTCCGGAATTCCGCTACGGAATTGATTCGATTATTCAGGAGGATCATTTCTACATGAAGTATAACTTGTGCAATTCCGGAAAAGCCGGAATTCCTGCCCATTCCTACCGATTTCGGAAAAGCCGGAATGGGCACGAATTCCGGAATTCCGCTACGGAATCGATTCGATTATTCAGGAGGATCATTTCTACATCAAGCATATCTTTCGTAATTCCGGAATTGGCAGGAATCGTATGCAAGGAATTCCGGAATTGAATGATGTTAAATTGGGTGGGTGCAGCGATTCCGGAATGTGTAACTTTTGGGAATAGGAAGCATTCTCCGATATATTCGTCCTTCATGTAGATGATTATCTATTCTTTTATGACTATTTCATTATCGTTTCATTTGTATCTTATATTCTCTTCTTATTCAATTAAAATAAACTTAGAAAACCATCTTGAGGATGAGTTTCTGCTGAATGAATTTAACCCCATATTTTTAAGCATACTGATATCTTTTAGATCAATATTAGTGTAGTCCTATGTGTTTTATTTTCTCAGCTGATACACATCTAAGTAGGAAAATAAAATGAATATTGTTATTTCCTATAAAATCATTTACCGATGTTTATGAAAATGTGCGATCGTGGTTTAACTTGAGGGTGTGGGTGTCTATTAAAGAAAGAGAGACTCATCTACATCCTCACCCACACCCACACCCTCAAGTACTATAATGACCATATGCACTAAATCTTATGAATATTATCAAAATAATCAGATATTATATGAAAAACGACACTGAAAAACTAAGAAAACATTTGAAAGACTAGTTAAAGCTATTTTATCACTTGTAACTTTTGTTAATCTTAATAAATTAATCTACAAGTGTAAAAAGCAAAAACATTCTTTTCTATTTGGAATCGAATATAAAAGTATATGATAATTCAGTAAAAATATGGAAAGAAACAGTTCGCGGTCATCATAAGATGACAGTTATTCTAACTAAAGTATTGTTGGGAATTTGAGCTACTTGCAAGGTAACTAATTAGATAATTGAAAGTTAATTTGCTTGAAATACTTAATATAACTCTGCACTATTTAAAGCACCACCAATACCATTTCCACCAGTAACTAATACTCTTCCATTTGTTATTGCAGATGCTGTGTGATAAACACGTGCATTATTCAAGTTACTAGTAGTTGTCCAAGTATCTGTTGCTGGATCATACAGCTCAGCACTATTGCTACCTCCACCAGTAACTAATACTTTTCCATTTGATAATATAGATGCTGTGTGACCAGCTCGACCGTTAGTCATGTTACCAGTAGTTAACCAAGTACCTGTTGATGAATCATACAATTCAGCACTATTTAAGGTAAAGCTAATACCATCGCGTCCACCAGCAACTATCACTGTTCCATTTGATAATATAGATGCAGTGTGCCAGTATCGTGTATGAGTCATGTTACTAGTAGTTGTCCAAATACCTGTTGATGGATCATACAATTCAGCACTATTTAAAGTACCAGTAATACTATTACTATTCAACCCACCAGTAACTAAAACTTTTCCATTTGATAATACAGATGCTGTGTGATAATATCGTGCGTTAGTCATGTTACCAGTAGTTGTCCAAGTACCTGTTGATGGATCATACAGCTCAGCACTATTTAAATAACCAGTAGGGCCAAAGCCAGCAGTAACTAATACTTTTCCATTTGATAATATAGATGCTGTGTGACCAGATCGTGCGTTAGTTATGTTACCAGTAGTTGTCCAAGTACCTGTTGATGAATCATACAATTCAGCACTATTTAAATAATAAATATTACCAAGTCCACCAGTAACTAAAACTTTTCCATTTGATAATATAGATGCTGTGTGGTACCCTCGTGTATTAGTCATGTTACCAGTAGTTGACCAAGTACCTGTTGATGGATCATACAGCTCAGCACTGTTTAAATAACCAGTAGAGCTAAAGCCAGCAGTAACTAATATTTTTCCATTTGATAATACAGATGCTGTGTGCCAGTATCGTACATTAGTCATATTGCCAGTAGAAGACCATCCTAGAAGTTATATTTTTATATATTTAGACAATACAACATTATATAATCAAACAATCAACATTCATTATTCTTGTGTACAGTATTTTTCATTATTCTAAAAACAACAGCCTTTGATATGTCTACTTTATATCACCTCAAACTTATGTAGATCGAGAGTGGTAGTCAAATCTGCTACACAAAATCTCTTCACATATTATCACATCTTCAGTTTTCCATATTTTCTCTCTTAACGCAATCAAATATATAAAAGATGTTTGTCTCAAATTGATCACTGTGATAATTACGCTGACTGATACGTTCTTCGATTCTCTACAAATTATAAAAGCTATGCTCGAAAAATATTCAATAGTATAAAAAGTATGGGCTTACATTAACTCTGCTATAGTTCTCTGAATGTCATAATCAAAATAGTGAGTTATTTACAACATTTCCTTTTACTATGATTAATATATAAATGACAAAAGAACTATATAGCGTTGATTACTGGAAAGGATATAAGACATAAACTAATGAGAACATGAGTGATTAATCTTAAAGTCTTTGATAATTCGCTATCAAATTATTGTTAATTCTCCATTAATTTACACAAATTCACCTATTCAGATTCTTTTGGCTCTATTCTCAGTTATATTTCATATCTAATCAAATACTCTTCTTAAATTTATTAGCACAAAAACAATTTTTCGTCAATTCACCATTCACATATCTTTTTATGTGATGAACACTATCATGGAAAAAGCAAACTTATACAAATATTCCAAAGATGACATAAAAAATTAATCTGAAGATAAAGATAGTATTTAATGTCAAATTGTATAGTTCACTTGATCATCTCATCAGTCAAGACAAGATATATGAGATAGTTATGGATCGCAAAATCATAACCTTAGATTCTCTATCAGAAGTGATTTACATTCACATATAATTTGTTCCTGAATTTAATCTCACATGACTCATCTATTTTACAATAAGTTTAATGTTGATGATGAACAATGTCTCTTAAACTAAACCTAACGTAACTGTAAATTAAAATTATTAGAACAATAACAGTAACAGAAAAGAGAGGAATCAACAAGAATGTAGAACGAAGCAAAATATAAATTTGAGTTGAGATGATCTATAATAATAATTTGTATACTTCAATCTATTCATTCATATTCTCTTTTTACTTTATGCAACAAATATAAGTTTAAAAATAATGTTACAAAAGTTTGCTCTACAAAATTATTTCAGCTCAGACACAAAACACAAAAACATTGATTTATTATAAAACTATATTTCTTTATTCTACCAACTGAATCATATATGAAATTATATTAATGTCTCATTCACGAACTAAACTGAACACTTCAGTATAGTTCAGTTCTTCATCTCTTTTTCGTTTCTCTTAATAGTTAACAATGAATATCACGAATCTATTGTAGTCTATCTATTACATTTGTCTTCATTACAAGAAAAGTATTACCCAAGAGAGGTTTATATAAATGAATAATGCCTTATCTACAACTATGACTAAAATGAATTGTTCTAGTTAATTTTGAGCAACTCTGAAGTGTAAATAATATGTATTAGTACCTCTTTCACACATTTGTGTTGCTAAGAATGGTAAACATACTGCTTGTGATGAACAACATGAATTAATAACACATATTGAATTATTTAATGAGCATGTTTGTGTAATATTATCACATCTTTCTAATATTGAACATAAAATACCAGGTGCACAATAACTAATGTTAGTTATTGTTCGATAATCATAACAAGGTGTTGATGATGAACGACAGTTATTGTTACCATTCAAACTTGTATTACATTGCTGTAAAGAACAATTTGATGTTGGATTCCATGCTGAATGAGATGATGAAGATAATGTAAGCTTAATAGAAACATTATTTTCACTACAAGAATAATTAGGTAATTGTGTAGTTTGTCCTATAGAATTCATTTATATTATGATACAGTCAAATGAAAAAAGGTAACGTAACAAACCTTTTACAGATGAAAGAGACATGATCAGAAATAAAACAAGGATAGATCGCATTATTTTTTATGTGGTCGATAAAAAGAACAAATTAGACAGTGATGAATGATTTTTCTTTACTCTTTTTTCCTCATTACTTCATACATTTCTCTTTTAGTTGAAAGAGCATAAAACTGTTTCTCTCAATACTTGTTTGTGTTCTTGAAATCAGGAATCCATTACTTTTTTTTGATTTATTCATTCAAATTTATTCAAATATTTATTTTCTATGCCTGTCATTTTCATTTCGTTAAGATTTTATTTCATGATATATTTTTGTTTTTATTAAAAACTCTTCGCTTCTGTTCTTTTATAATAACTAAAATCATGACGTTTTTTTTATTCTATGTATAAAGTACCTGATCAGTTATATGAAGTTGTTTTATTGACAAAACTAAAATAAAACATCACTTGAATAGATTCATGTTTATTTGTTAATTTCTCTATAGGATTTCATTCATTACGCACAACTCTTCGAAGGTAAATAAGAGATTCGATTAGGATTTTAATACTCTTGTAATTACTTTATGTCCTTATTTTTCATGTACCTGTTATTTTTTTAAAAACGTTATTCTTAAACAGTAAAAAATATTTAAAAGAAAATCATCAAATATGAAACTGATTTAGTTAATGTTATTAACAGTAGTTTATAGAAAAGGAGTTTGTTTATTGTTTATTCTTAGATTTATTGTTATAGAAAAATAAAGAATAGCTCTATATGTTTATATTTGGAAAGAGCAAAATTTTAGTCTAAAAGAAACAACTGTTCATTGAGCTCAGTTATAACTGATGAGATAAGAGTTTATTTCATAGGAAAAAAAGAACGACAAATAATCTTTTGATAATAAACATTCATCTGTTATGAATTTACTTTTGTAATTGTGTAATGTATTATAAGAATTGTAAATATTGAGAAAAAAATATGGTGGTAATATATGTAACTAAAATTTAAAAAAGACAATATAAAAAGCAAAGCAAAATACATAAATAATATATTGTAAACGCTGTTTAAAATGTTTTTATTATACAAATAAGTGATGATTAGAATTTATGATCTTGTTCATTTGCATTGAGAATAGTGCTAAAACTATCGAATTCTTTATTTGCTTCTGTTATTATACAATGTATCAAATAAATTTGTTATGCCTTTCATCAATTTATTGAGAAAGATCTAAGATCATGTATCAATCTCTATATCAAATTTTGTTAATAGAAATTATGACAAAATTAAGCAAATAGTATCTACAGTCATATTGTAAGCGATCCTTATTTAGATAAGAAAAATAAATCTAGTAAAATCATTCAAATGCAAGTCTTATTATTTTTTGGTATTATATATATTTATATAATATGAGTAGTAAAAGAAGAATCCATGTAAAAAATAACACGGCAAGCATCCGATTTTAATCTAATATATTAGCAGTTTGATATACGTGAGCAATCATGTATTGATGTCATGTTCGCAAGTGTGTTGAAGTTTGACTGGGTGCTAGAACTACTATTTGTCAACACGAGGAGTTCGAAAAGCTGTCAGAAGTCTAACTTTCTAATTGCAAATTGAAGAAAAACAGGTTTCATAACAACCCTGATTAAAATCGATCAACATGAAATAGTCGATTAAAATTTTTTTACAAATAGAACCAAGACAGCGTCGTTTTGATCGACTTTAATCAGTTTTTTTCTGATTATAAATCGAATTAAAATCATTTCATTTTAATCGATTTTTAATCACAAAAAATCGAGTAAAACCGAATTTTTTGTGATTTTCTTTTACATTAGAAGAGTTCAGAATGTTTCATTCTTGTAAATAAGAGTAATATCTGTGATCGAATTCAATATTATATAAATCTAATATGTCAAATACAGTAAATAGCAATTTTTGATAATTGATCATTTGATATTTGATTCGATTCTGTTGAAAAAGATTGTTCTTTAGTGAATACACATTTCATTGTTGGAATAGATCAAAGTTTATTCAATCAATACTTATCATCCATTCAACTTCTTTTGTTATTTTATGGATAAATAAGTGATAGTTTATTCTTAAATGACAAAGTTATCTTACAAGTATTGACACCGACAGATTAACAAACAAAGCAGATTCATAATAGAAATGGGTACAATCGAATGATATCCATATTAGCTACTTCATAAAACGAAAACAAAGACTAACTATATGCTATAGTTGGAATCCGTTATATGGAGTATTAAATAGTAAACGAACGAACTCTAATCGATTTCTTTATTTGATAGATGACATCCTCTATGAATCGAGTTACCATAAACATTCATTTATATAATACGTTTTTCAAAATTGATATTTAAGAAATCTTTCGAAAGTTTATAAATTGCATTTTGCCAAAAGAAAATTCGTTATTGAAAATGACGTTTATTGCACTTAATTTTGAAGTCATTCATACATGTGATACAACAAAAGTTCGTGTAGATCATTTTAGTACAGAAGGAACTTTGAAAGGTTTATCACCTGAACAATTACATCAGTTAAATTGCCGTATTATATTTGAAAATACTTATCGTTTAGGACATCGATCAGTAATTCATAATTAATTTTTTGTATTTTTCTTTTATATATTTTTTTCAAGGATACTAAATTACTTAAAGGAACGGATGGTCTTGATTCATTTATGTATTGAGATGGAGGATTTTTAATAGTAAACTTTCCTTTTGATTTATTTTAATGTCTTAAATGATATACCTCTTCTTAAATTATCAAAAGTAACTGAAGATGATGTTAAACTTCAATATCCACATGAACACAGTGAAATGTTATTAACACCAGAATAGTCTATTGAAATTCAAAATGTTATTGGTAAAGGTCTTTCATTAAATATATGTAATATCACAATGAAACTAAGAAACAGAGACAAAATTTTCGACAATATAATTCATCGAAAAAACTTCAGATAACAAATTTATCAAACATTTTCTTAAAAAATATATATGAATATAAATTTTCTTAATTCGCTTTCTTTTTTATTGCCTATAAGTTTAAAACATCTTGTATTGAAGCTGTAATTCTTAGAGTTGCCAAAACTCTCTCTGTTAAATAGTTTCACTGTCAATAATTGATGTAACTCTATCAACAATTGTAGAATCTTATTAGAAGAAGTACAATTCCATTTACATTCACATTATCTGAATTTAGTAATTACTTTATCACACGAATTATATGATGCTTCAAGTGGAGTTCACGATTTTTGTGTAAAGTAATAAGAAAGTTTATTTTTATCAGACATAAAAATATACTAAACGTAGTAACGATATGAGAAGCGCTTGAACAAAATAAAAAAACAACGAAAACTGACTTAGATTCTCTTCTTAATACGGAGAAACAATAGAGTGGCTTTTGTTTTCTTCCAATGGACTAATATTGATTGACTTTTCTTGAATATTTTGACTACGATAGGTGGCGGACACATGGTTAAAATGCGTTAAGCGAGAAAGAGTAGTTTTACGATCGCAAAATATTTTGCTAATAACTATCAAAATATAAGGAATATCAAGGTATGCAATAACTTTCTATTGCCTCCCCTCGCCTATGCGGCGTGCCCCTAATGGTTGTTTTATGGAAGGAATAAACAACAGGCATAATCTTTTTGTCGTTCTTTATATTTTTTTTTCTTTTCTTTCTATCCATATTATGTTTGCGAGTGTTCTGTTTCGCTTTGTCTCTTACACGCACGTGCCTACATTTTTCTCAACGTTTAAATGCTTTTTATTTTCTGTTTTTCTCGATATTTATTCCCTCAACGACTATACAAACCAACTTCGTGTCTGGTGTAACCACATTGAGAAGTATTTTGATCAAGGGGGAAAAACTGATTTAAATCATGTGGAAAGCAAAATTAACTCCTTTTAAATCATACAGTTACGAATCGCTCCCCCCCCCCCTGATATTGATACTCTCCGCATTGATGTTGTTGCTTCATTCTTACATATCATATTTTTCTTCGTTTTATATCATCGTGTAAGTATTTCCTAGCGTTATATTGGAAGAGCATAATTAGAAAAAGAAGTATTTTCATATTTATTTTTCGAAAACCACTGCAGAGCTAGTTTTTTTCCAAAACTATCGTTTATTTAGCTCAAAAAAAAAGCGTTAACGGTACACTGATTAGTAACACGTTACGGTTCACAAATAAATTCGTAACATCGATTGTACGATAATAAAATATCATTTAAATAATTCTAATTACAAAGACTCTATTAATCGTCCATATTGCAGTTAGATTTGAGATACTCAGCAATGTTATCTTGAATCCGTACATGATGATTACTACTACCTGTAAGATGCAACACTTAACTTTTTCATTAGATATTTTTAGATATATTCAGTCGAGAACTTTTGTATCGATCGACTACGATTCAATGGCAGCCACGTCTGATATAAACACACTTCAATCTGGCGGTGAATCATCTGATTACAAAAGAAAAGTTCTTATCGAAGATTTAACCAATAATGACCAGAGAGTCGATTTATTTAACTATTTATCGAAATTTGGACCTGTAAAAAGTTGTAACATACCTTCAGGTAGGCAATAGTAATCCTTAATATGAAAAATTTTCTGATTTGTCAAACAACGGGATATTGATACATGATGTAATAAGGAATATCATAAATTCAGGTCTAGAGATCAATGTGAACACTATTTTTGATTATCATGAGCCGTAAATGTTCTATTATTTCTATTACTACGATTTACTACAAAGTTGATAATAACGCTGATGGTAGTATGCAAACGCACATTGGCTATTTGCATTTAAGTTCTTCTTTACTTCACATGCGAGGTGAAATTGAAAAAACGAAATATTTCAATTCGTAGAAGAACAAATTAAAAGATGAAATCTTAAATGCATCACTTCAGCTCATTAGTTTTGGTCGTAAATCTGTAAAGATTATTAAAAATCAATTTTTGCAAGTACCTCTCAAATACTTTTACATTTAGTCATAGTTACTTTACTTTAGCTACTTAATATTAATTCATTCGCTCTAATCTCAGTAAGATTTCATAATAAGAGTACGAGTTAGCTTTTGATACCAATGAAAAATAGTGTAACGAGTGTCACTAACGATCAGACGGAACAAAAATTAAGAAAAATTCCATTGCCAGAGTATACATTTTTCATAAGACATCGAGCCGCGCAATATTGAAAAAAATGATCTTGTAGCTGCATTGAAAGTTTGTCGTGATTAGACTTTTATCAAGATTACAAAATTCTTTGAAATGTTAGTCATATTCCCAACCTTAAATGTGATTTACAGTAATCATACCAATCCTTAATCCAGACTTATTTTTTTTAAACGTTATTTCTATATTTACATCTATATATTTCTCACAACTCATATCTAAGGTGTTTTTTTACGATTAAAATGCTTGTTCTTCTTTACAAATAAAGATCCACCTCGACGATGTGTTGCCATATACGAAGAATTACAATCAGTTGATAATCTAATGAAAAAGGAAAATCGTCCACATACTCTGAACGGTCATACTGTTTATATTTATAGAGAATTACGAGTAGCAAAGAATTTGAAAAAACTTAAGGCGCAAAGATTCATATGCGCATTAAAATGCCTTTCGTTCAAACCATCAAATGTTATACCAGAACAAGAATTAAAATCTTATTTTGGTCAATATGGTACAATTGTGACAACTGAAATAGCACAAAACTATATGATAATCAACTATGACGAGTAAGATTTGTGATACTATCGATCAAGTTTTATTTTCAAAATAATCGATTTCAATTTTAGTTATGATTCTGTGGACAAAGCAATTCAACATAGTCCCCATGTCTTAAATAATGTCACGTACGATGTAGAAAAATATTTAGATTCAACTCTTACAAATAGTAATACAAATTTACTTATAGCATCAACATCTGGTAAGTACACGATTTGTTGAGCTCAACCGTTACTTTTATTCCCTTTCATGGTAGTTCCAGAGTGATACTATTATAAATCTTTATGTATATATTTATAGCTAACAAAACCAAGAAAAAATAAATCTAATGATACATGAAGACATTAATGAATATGAACAACATAGAAACTATTTTGAGAGTATGTGTGAATACGAGATGAGTATAAAACACCCATTCATGATTTTATTTCATAAAAAAAATTCATTTACCATAAATTTTTCATATATATAAAATTATTTCAATCGTATATTCAAACTATTGTTCTACATTTTATGCCTGTATAATAAAATCTATTAATGCAATCCCTGTAGGGTTAAAATGAGAAACATAAATGCGCTACTTAGTTACATTGCAACTGAGAAAATACTATAAAGTCTATCATAGTTCTTGACAAGAAGGATGTGGTGCTAAGAGTGTTTGTCACGATCTATAATGTGTCGTTCATAGGGATGTTTCCAGAGAAGGGATCGGTAAGATTTCCCTCCCTCCCCTACAGATTTACTTTTTCTAGAATGATAGCCCTTGCAGAATCGTCAATTCCTGAATTAAAAAATTCTTGTGAATGCCCCTGGAGGCGGGTGGACGGCTCCAACCTTTCACCCTCTATAACTCAACATTCATTTTAATTTGTGTTTCACAAAGTAAGTTGGAACTATTTTTTAAGTTTGTGTTTTTATTAATTAGACATAGAAAAAGAAGCTGTACCAAACTTTCACAAGAGTGAATCCGCACTCGCAAATAAAACTCATAATGAATCAAATGAAGATTCACGACGTTTCACAGGATCGCTTAACGATAACAAAAGTCCAACTGTTGTTGATGATCGATCGCTTGGAAATCCAAGTCGACTATTTAGACAAGCTCTTAATGATGTCAAAGATCAAGGTAAGATGATTGAATGCGTATTTCCTAAGAAATAAAATATTCATTTCTGATATTATTGAAACAACTCTTATCTTTCTGATAAATTCTGTTGAGTGTGTTATTAATTGATCAATTGAAATACCGTCTTCATTTATAACGTACATATTTCATGGAAGATAATCTGCCAGAAAATCAGTACAAGTTTGATTGTATTTCCATTTTTATTTTCTTAAAGCAAATCGTGATTTACCAAACGATGTTCCGGCGGACTGGACATCTATGAATTCACAAGCAGGAAATGCAGGTGGCCAGGGTGAAGTACGCAGAATATTCTTTAAAAATGATCCAACGAAAATGGCAGCAATAAAAGTTTATTCACATGACACTAAAACAAAAAAAACTAGCAAAGGACAAAGTGACTATTTAAAAGAACGAAGAATGCGCGCTCATCGAGAATTAGTCGCTTTAAAAGCACTACGAGGTAACTCTTTTAAAAAATTTCCTTCTTTATGAATTCTATAATGCATGTTTATTTTTTAGGTATAAAAAATGTTACTGAATTAACGCAGTATACAAATGATTATTCAAATATACCTAACGAAATGGAAGATGCTATAGCTGCCGACAAACCCTATTGGGTAATTATGAATCATATCGATGGAGAAACTTTAGAAGCGTTTATGGATAAACATGAAGATATAACTTTGCTGAATGCGGTTAAATTAACTAAAAAATTGCTTCTAACTATCAAAGATATTCATAGCAGAGGTGTTATACATCGTGATATAAAACCAAGTAATTTATTATTTGTTTGTCAACCAAATGCACCAATTGAAACGGGTGAAATTCATGTCATTGATTTTGGATTAGCGTATATTGAAACTCGTGAAGATGATGTTGATTGCTCCTCTTTCGAAGAAAAAGAAGTATATAAACAAACACATCTAGGTACCACTATGGGTAATATTTTTTTTCGCGTTCCACAACTCAATTCACCAACATTGAAGGACAAGACACCTAAAGAACGAAATGTCCTGATACATGTTCGCCGTAGTCCAACAATTGATGCTTCAAGTGTTTGTGCAATTTTATTTTGGTTGTTAACTAGTCTTGAACCAGGACCTAAACATCGTGACAGTGAAAAGCTAGCGCCGCATCAAATTGAAGATGCTTCTACGATAATTATGCGGAAAATAAATGAAGCTGCCAATCAAACAGGTGTGTGATATCACTGAAGTAGATCTTTTTTGAGTCGTTACCTATTGTAAAAGATTGAATTCATTATGGATCGTTGGTCTTAGTTGCATACTCTTATCTAACACTTTATCTACGACGGAATTGAGTTAGGCATACGATTAGACCAATTCTTATCTCTACGGCTTTTGCGTTGAGTAGTTATTATGTGATTCAGTTCGAATAAACTAATACAGGTATTAAATTCTTTTTTATTACAGGCGTTGCACCGGAATCAGCATCTGGATTAATAAACCAATTAAAAACTTATGTTATGACAACCTTTGATAAAGGTTTTGAATATGCGGAGTATCAATGGACGGTTGAACAGTTAGAATATCGTTTAGAATCAGTTATTCACATTCTCGAACAAAGTTCTATGCCATTTGATCAACAGCTTAGTAATGCGACGAAAGCTTTACTTTCACTTGAATCAACTACACTTCGTTCGAGTCAGAATTCGATAAATTTAATATTTAATAAAGCTTCACTTGCATTTGAATCTGCCAAAGTAAACTTTATCATCCAACATCCATCATGTTCATGGTATGATGGTCGTTGTCGTTGGTTGGAGTATCGACAAGATATGTCTGAACGTAAAAATGTTGATTTATTATCTTATCAACGAAATAAACAAAATTGGAAGCTGATACTTATTTGCTCTGCTCATTTTAATCAAAATGGAACCATAGTTACATTAACCATTGCTACTGATTTGAATGGTGTCTATATCGAATTACCACTAGATCAATACGCTCCAACTGAACTAGACAGTTTAAATATTCAACTTGAATTTGAAAAAGAATTAATCAATCTGTTACAAGTCATATGCAAACCAGAGCATACACTAAACATTGGATCTGCACCTTTAACAAATTAAAAGAATAAGAACAGAATCCTAATAATTCATATTTATGTAGTTACGTAACTAACTATTTCCGTAGTAATTTCACACAACACTTATTTACCTAAAATCATGGATTTTGATTATTTTTGTTTGTCTGTGTATTTCATTTGCATTTTTCTTGGCCCCCATTCTAATTGCAGTAACCTTGGCAATTTCTAATAGATCTTTAGATTAATCAGTAATTACCAATAATTACAGTTTTTGGATGTACGTGTGAGGGTGTAGGTGTGGATGGGTGTGGGTGTGGGTGTGGGTGGGGGTGTGGGTGGGTGTGGGTGTGGGTGTGGGTGGGGGTGTGGGTGGGTGTGGGTGTGGGTGTGGGTGGAATGTGAGTGATAAATGAATGAAACACCCGTACCCATCTCTTAGCAAGAATATGAAGTATTGTGCAAGTACATGTAGTTCGTCGAACAAATTTAATTGTATTTAAAGTACGAAGTTTAATAGTTATTGAACTGTAGGAAAATCCATCCATCCGTGCAAATGCAATAAAACAAATGGCCAATGTTCGAGTAAAAGAAAATAAGTATATTTGAAGTTGGATCAATATCAAAAGCACCGACAAGAGTACAACATGGAACAGTAATAAGTACAACAAAGAAAATTGATAAAAGTAACTGTTAAAAAATAAACACATCAAGAATTCGATTGAAATGAACGATGAGTGAAGATAGTCTACTTTTCCTTTTTTTATTTTTACGGTTGTCAGATATAATAAATAAGAAAGAAAAAACATTTAAGTTAGTAAGTGTAGACAAAAGAGAAATGGTGGTTTTTCTTCTGTAATTGCATGTTCTCTGTTTATTGAGGTTTTATGAGTTTTAAAAAGGAAAGGATGAAGACATTGATAAGGCCCACATCGAATATTTTAGTTTTCATGTTGTAAAAACGATCATCCAGACTGTTACAGTTATATTTCTCAGCGTTTCCAGTTGAGAAGAATGGTCCATGATTTTATTATGTTCGATAGATATTTACCCAAACAGGTTTCTTTCACAAATATATTATAATACTGTGACGAAGGTATAATATAGAGAAAGAAAATACTCATTTGTGGTGCGAACGAGATGTAGTAGCTAAGTAGAGTAATTTTGGAGAACCATGCATTGCTATCATAATCACAAGCATTCAAAAAAAGAATGACGATTTCAGCTAACTGTGCTATAAAACAGGCAATCGGACCCAGCAGGAGATCGATTAGTTTGCGTGTTTCATCAATCAGAGCATTGTGTGTACTTTTTCCATGAGCATTCACCTTCGATCGAGTGATTGTCAAAATGATGATCAATGCTGCGGTAATGTTAACCAGGAAAGGAACTGCCTGATGAGCTAAAGCCAAACCTTGTGTCAGTACTTGCTGATTCGGTGGAATTTCACGAATACACCAAGGAAATGAATAATCAGGATGATTGACTAATTTGTATTGAGTGATAAATATGTAATTCGAACTTGAAACAATCAATACAATCCCCAATATCAATGAAACTGCTCTCTTTGGCTCTTGCAACGAAGACCAGCGAGAATATTGTACTGCAGCCAGTGCTCTTTGTACTGTAACTATAGCCATTAACCACAAAGTGACATAGTAGAAAGTGTACATGAGCATGGGTAGACTCTTGCATACGACTGTATTTACTTCATTCGAGATTATGATACGTCGTACCATATAGAGATAGCTAATCCGTACAAGCAACAATATCAGCACCAACAAACTAAACACTGACGTTGCCAGAAGATGAAGAGCTACTCCGTTGTTACGAAGTTTTCGTTGTGCGAAAGTGGTAATGGACAGATAGTTAAAGAACATTCCGATGACGAAGAGAATTATCGGTGCGATAAAATGTCCGCGACCCCAGTCTGTTTTCTCAATGAGAAATTCTAGCGAGATAGAGAAACGACTAGGTGAAAACTGGCACAGCACACCTGTGACACACTTTGGGCATACACAAGCAAAATCAGTTCTGTTTGTTAGATCACCTTGAACACAGTGTCCTTGATTTTGACAATAGCTACATACTGTGTATCGTCGTTGATAAGAAAGACAATTACTGTGATTTTTATTCGGATAACCACAGTAACAGAGATATCCATCAGATATAAAGCAAGTACCATAGATGAAACTTTGGCAAAAATTGCCAAACAAGGTAACAGCATGTCGTTGATTTTCAGGTAGAACATGACATTTGTTTAGTTGTTGATCAAGATTAACGGAAAAGTTTCGCATCGTACTGGAACAATTAATAAAGAGCAAATATAAGGTAGTCTCGATTGAATATGCATTTGATTCAAAAGTGAAGAGTAATCCAATTTCAGGTTGTTCTCCAATTACATAACCCCAATCACGCGTTTTAATCGTTTTGATCAAAGGAAACGTAGTCAGCGGCTGAACGAGGATTTGCTGACGTATTGTCGGATAGTCTCCTGTGAGCTGGAGTAATTGCAAAAGAAATGGTGATTGATTCGGCTCTTGTCGCTGAACACTAATCACTGGTCGGTTGATATTACAATTAGATGTGTTACAGATACAAATATGTCCATAGATAGGAGGATGTGATCGTGGAATGCAAGTTTCATTCAGTTCACACTTGTTTTGTTGGCATTTTAGATTCTGAACGTAACAGTAAGGTTCGAGGTAGCCTTGTGGACAAACACAGATGGTTTCTGTTCGTGCCAGTGAATGTGATGCACAATGAATGTGCTCAGTTTTCATCTCGCACAGTTTACCTTTCCAACCGTATGCACAAATGCAGAGGAATCGGTTGTCCTCTCGTTGATGGCAGGTTCCATTGTTTTCACAATAGTTGTGTGAACAAAGCCAGGGAAGTGAACGAGCAGGAAATCGAAGCACTTTGACAATACGTAATACAGGCAAAAAGTCCAGTGGACTGATTGGATATTCCCAGAAATGGATTAATTCTGTAGAATGATAGGTCTCAATTCGAACAGAATAAGTACCCGGTGGTTTCGGACGAGGATAGATCAAGAGGGTCGTAGATTTTGCTGAGTATTCTGTGGCTTCATCAAGAAAAAATCGATGATCAAGTACTATGCTTTCGTTTAGAAGAAGCATGACGAGGACGTTCAGAATAAGTGGAAGATCAGGGCGTTGTCTTCGATCGAAACGCAGTCGAACAGTTACTCGTCGACTGTTGAATTGGCAACGATCGCCGTAAAAAGTCGGCGGACAAAAGCAGAAGAATTCGGAGCTGTCGACTGCTTGCAGATAAAAACCTCGATTACAGTAATAGTATCGATCAACGAATGCTTTCACTTGATGACTTACGGATAAAGATGGAATTGAAAGTTTGGTGTTGGATTTCAATTGATTGTAACATCCTTTTTTAATATCAAATATCGATCTATCCTTACTCGAGCGATAGACATAATTTTCACTAGTTGAATTCGGACACCAGAAACGATGGGACTTATCATTGCATTTCATTTCTGCTGTACACCTCTTGTTCTTACAGCCCTTTTGGTCCGCACAGGAAAACTGGCCAGCAGGACAATAGCCAGTATTCCAATAGCAAATTGACTCATCAGTTTCGTCCACACAGTCTTTGATTCCATTGCATACTGCCATGTAATCGATGCATTTCCGTCCATTATCGCACAAGAAACGATCACCAACCATCCGATGATCAGGGCACGATGCAACGTTACGTTCATATCGGGCTCCAATACAATCAATATGGTCATCACCTACTCGGCTTCGATGAATACAAGAACGATTCAAACTTTGATTCTTCACATAGTCATCAGTGATGCAGAAAAACTCATCGCTCTTGTTGCATTTTACTTCGAGATTCCATGGTGCCCATGGTAAAGAACAGTTTACTTCGTCTTCACCATCATCACAATCGAATTCACCATCACAAAAGTATTTTCGTTCGATACATTGTCCTGTTCGATTGCACTTGTACAAACCGGGATCACACATCCAATCTGAGCAGTTCTTTTCGTCTCGACCATCCATTAAATCCCAGATCGAATCACAGTAACGATGAAAATGAAGTCGAACGTCTTTTAGTCGGTTCTCTCCGAACTGATCACCTTGAAAAATCCAACACGCATAGTTATCATTCACATCACATTTGAAGGTTGACCAACGTATCTCATTGGATACTTCATCACTTCCGTCGGCACAATCATTCACACCATCACCTAATTTAGCATAGCTGACATATTGAGATGGGGATGTGACAGTTTGACATTGATAACGAAACAGTTGAGTCATTGGATAATCGGGGTTTCTCTCATCATCGCCATAAAGACAATCAATATAACCATCATTGACTCGACGTAACGACACGCGATCTGATGTATTTTTACATCGATGGAACGGTGGTGAGGTTAACGAATCCAAATTATTTTTATTTTCCGTGTTACTCAACGATTGTTTCATTATTTTTTGACAAATTAGATGAAAGAGTGGAAAAAATGGGTAAGAAGTGAGCTTTTGCAATTCTTGATGATTGAACGAGATTTTTTCCGATATGTTTAACGGTGTCCCATCGCAAACAATGGCACCAGTGAAATAGTATAGATCAGGTGTCTTCGGTATGTGTTTGTTTAAATTACTTGGATTGCTGATGAATATTTCGATACGAGAGCGATTGTAGATCATTTTCAAACCTGGAAAGAAAGCATTTTGTTCCAAATATAGGATAAGATTATCACAACGAGCTCTGAGATTGATGACCGCAAGCTCTCTGAGTTGCTGAGAAGGATGAGTTTGTAATAAATGTCCAAGAGTTTGTCGACAGTCTGAACTGTCTGTCAAAAGAGGAACAACTTCCATCGTTTGTTTACAAATACTAGGCCATTCTCCACGATTTGCTAATACCAAGTTCGATATTTCACAAATGTAGGCGATATCACGGAAGTTACCACAATCTTTCTGGTCGTTCAGAATTGCCGACCATGAAATGCATTCACCATTTCCACATGAAAACTGATCTTTATGACACAGT